CCACGAGAGCGTGAGTAGCAACAAAGGCATTGACAGGTGCAGGTTCAGCCAAGGAAACATTCTGATCTGCCATTCTTTGCTCGGTAGTCAACATAAGTGCCTCAAGGGTGGGATAGGTGATAGGGGTATCCTGAGCTTGAGCAGCACTTACTGTTATTTCAAACTTAGGTCCTAGATTGTTCGACACAATCTACACAAGTTCATCATCATTCACAGGTTGCCCCGCTAGGGCAAGGTTGTCAGCGATCGCACTCATGCGATCTAGGTAATCCGCAACAGAAAGATCACCCTTCATAGTCTGCAACAACTCATTTGCGCATGAATAAAATTCTGTTCTAAGAAATGGAGGCAAACATTTGCTCCAAAGCTTCCCAAGTGGCACGTGCAGTCCTCTTGCTTGTCACAGTAAACAAAACAAAAGCAGTCAATGAACCATTTATTCAACTGAGAATCATTTGATCTTGTTGGATCCATGCAGTGTACACAGGATCCACAGTGGTAACACCATGCAAGTTTTTGGGAGGGCATACCAAAGTACCATCCACGTACCCCATCAGATCTCTACTCTTGAGAATTGGGAGAATTTGAGCCAACCACAGTGGGTAGTTGGTTCTGTCAAGTTTGATATTGACAACAGTGGAAAAACGGATGGAAGGCAGTGGTGGTAGGTGGTTGGAGGAGGTGGAATTGGAAGAGTTGACATTGTTTTCAGCCATTGAAGCGTGGAAAAAAAAAAAACAAGGATCTAGTCGTTAGACAGTAAGGCTCAATACCATATAAGAACTTTAGCACACTCAGGATTCACTTCAATTGCATTACCCCAATCTATAATGGGATGCTTGTATTTATAACAACTTCAGGATTACAATATGGGTTTGAAAACCCTGGATACAAGGAGCTTTTTAAAATACAAACAGAAACACAAGATTACATACACAACTTTGCGTACAACAAATATTTGAAATACAAATCCTAAAAACTAGGAGTATCAGAAAGAATAAAAGTTTGATCAGGAATCCCAACTCCTCAGATTGCGGTGAGTACAGCTTAACCTTGACTTCGTCTAACATTAGGTACCTCTAGAATCACTATCTCGTTCCCCATTGGTTTTGATTGAGACGTGTCTGCTTTCGCATTGATCACCGGCTTCCAGTCGCCCACGTATTCTCATACAAAGATGTTGGACTACTTTTTTCAGCAAATGTCAAATATCCAAGGAACAAATATCTGATATTTCAAAGTTTTATCCCTATGACTTTGAGAGCAATGGTAGACTTTTCCTGTAACAAAAATTGAAAAGTCATTTCCTCACAAGGAAATTACAGATACGCTTCGCATTTCTTTTTCTAAAAAAACATATTAGAATTCCGATGGGGTTTAGAACCGAAACCATTGGTAGTATTTTCGGTTCCACCATGTTCTTCCTAATCTTCTTCATCTTGCTTCTGTCACAGCATCATTGTGCTGAAGTTTATGAAATAACGCCGTCACAACCATTTTCACAGACACAAACCCTTGTCTCCCCCAGCCGCATTTTCGAATTGGGGTTCTTCAGTCCTAATGGTTCGGTTAACAAGTACGTGGGGATATGGCACACGAACATATCTCCGCGTAAAGTTGTATGGGTTGCCAACAGAGAAAATCCTATTGCAGCTTCAGATACCTTGGCTAATTTGACAATTAGCAGCAATGGGAATCTGGAGCTTGTAGATGGGAAGCAGAATTCTCTTTGGTCAACGAATATTTCAGTGCCATCTAATGGTTCAGCTGCAGAGCTTTTGGACAACGGAAATCTTGTCGTAAAAGATGATGATGTCGGAGCTGATCCATTGTGGCAGAGTTTTGATTATCCTAGTGACACAATTCTACCAAATATGGTGCTGGGATTCAATAGTAAATCCGGAAAGCGCAGTTTAATGAAAGCCTGGAAAAGTGAGAGTGATCCATCAGCTGGCTTGTTCTTGGCTGGACTTTCACGGGACGTTCCATCACAAGTGTTCATTTGGATTAATGAATCGAAACCCTACTGGAGAAGTGGGGCATGGGATAAATCCATGTTCATCGGGGTACCGGATATGGATGGTCAATATCTAAGTGGATTCACTCTAAATGCTGATGTGAACCAGGGAACAAAATATTTTTCTTATAGGTTTTTTGACAATACGCTTTCATATTTTGGCATCTCTTCGGACGGAGTACTGAGTCTTAAGCTTTCGGACAATGGCAGCAACTGGTGGCTAAGCTGGGAGGCACTGGTGAATCCATGTGAAATTTATGGAACATGTGGAGTTAATGGTGTCTGCAAAGGTTCTGAATCTCCAAATCCAAATTGCGAGTGTTTGAAAGAGTTCGAAATGGAAACACGACTGGAGGGTGTGTGAGGCACACCGAATTGTTTTGTGATCAGAGTAACACAAGCAGGTCATTTTCTTCAGGAGGCAAAAAAAGAGCTTTGGTCTGGTCCAGTGACCAAACCAAACGAGAATTATCAGTATCTTTTGTTTTCTGTCTCATACTTTACTCATTGCAATTCATAAATTCATTTTTTCAGATGAAGGAAAGCCAGTAAAGCTAATTGCCAGCGTCACTGCTGTTGGTTTTATCAGTATCTTGAGTGCCATAGTATTCGGCGTGCACAAACTGCGCGCTAAAAAACCGGTAAGAGAATAACATAGAGTGATAGCATTATTCAAATTAGTACATAACTTCCATGCATAACTTCACAAGAACATATTTACTGATTGATATCCATTACTCGATAACCTTGTTATGATTGCTATATTTTTTAAACAGGGAACATGAAAGGAAAAACAAAGTTAATGCAGTTGAATCATACAAGTGATCATTCAGGTGACAATCTTCAAGAATACATAAGAAAACATGATCCGTCGGAGCTATTCATCTACGACTTTGACAGCATATTAACTGCTACAAACAATTTCAGCACCACGAACAAACTCGGGGAAGGAGGTTTCGGCCCTGTTTACAAGGTGACTATATACTTGTTTATTCATTTCAATTTCTAAAGGAAATTATAGTGTTTTCAACACCGGCTAGAAGCCTACAACTACAAGTTGCAGACATGAATCGAATGTTTAATTTATATTTGTAGGGTAAGCTACAAGAAGGGAAGGAAACAGCCGTAAAAAGACTATCCAGTAGCTCGGGGCAAGGCATGGAGGAGTTCAAGAATGAGATGCTGTTGATCTCCAAACTCCAACACAAGAATCTTGTTAGGATCATGGGCTGCTGCGTCAAAGACGATGAAAAGTTACTGATTTACGAATTCATGCCGAACAGAAGCTTGGATACTCTTCTATTTGGTTAGTTTTACTGCCACTTTACATGTTTCGATGAAATTTCTCATTGTTACATATTGTTCTTTTGTTACCGTAATTGGCAATCCCTTAGCTCTTTGTAATCCCCCACTACTTATGATTTTGTTACTGTTATTGCTTACATTTTTATGGATTTATTGATTAGATCCTAAGCGCAGAGAAGAGCTTGATTGGGCTACACGCTTCAATATTATCCAGGGAGTTGCTAGAGGGCTTCTTTATCTCCACCACGATTCCCGTTTGAAGGTAATCCATAGAGATTTGAAGGTTAGTAACATTCTCCTGGATGAGAATATGAACCCAAAAATTTCAGATTTTGGATTGGCACGAATCGTTGAAGCGACACAGAGTCTAGCAAATACTCACAAGGTTGTGGGAACACGGTAAGCGTCATTCTTTTCCTATTATTGGCATTTTTCTTAAGACCAGAAACAGAGAAGACATTTTTTTCCAGTTATTAATACAAATGAATTGCTTGTGCAGTGGTTATATGTCTCCAGAGTATGCCATGGGTGGGATATTTTCTGAAAAGTCTGATGTCTATAGCTTTGGCGTCTTGCTATTGGAGATTATCGCCAACAAAAAGAATAATAGCTTCTATTGCAACGAAGAACAGCACGGATTCTTAGCTCATGTAAGCTAAACACTCAAAATCTTCATTTGGATTTGTGTTTTTAAGATGCTAAATATAGCATATTCTAACAATTGTAGGCAACGTTCACAATATGCCTTTTGTCAGGTTTGGCACTTATGGAATGAAGGCAGGGGACTGGACTTGCTAGATGAAGTATTGGTGGATTCATATTCGTCCTTAGAAGTAATGAGATGCATGCACATCGGACTCCTTTGCGTGCAGGACAAGTCTGAAGATAGACCAACCATGCCGGACGTAGTTTTCACACTAAGTAGTGAGACGGATCTTCCACTACCTAAGCAGCCTATATTTTCTTATTTCCGAATCTCTGTCTCTAATCCTCAACCCAAATATGACAATATTTTATCTGCAAATGAAGATGCCATAACCGTGATCGAAGGTCGGTAAGCAATAGAACGTTGTTACATCACAATGCAGTGGATTTTGGCTATTGCACGTGTAAATACAAGTAGGGTTATTGCACGTGTAAAAGTTCTGCAGCTTGTAGACCGCAAATCTGCTATTTAATTAGTACAGTGGTAGACTGAGTTGAAAGATAATCGAAACAATTTAAGGAATTCTTCTTCTGAACCTTATATATTTTTCACTATAAATATGAATGGATCATGCATGTGGAAATCACACTTGCATGGCAATGGCAAGCATGATATGAATCGACAAACAAAGAGATGACACTGCCCGCAATGCAGATTGTTCAACTTGTTTCTGTAAAGATTTTGATCAAGGTGGATGCTTATCTCGGCTAGTAAAATAAAATTGTTAAGATGTAAAATTTGAAACTACCAAAAAAATCGCGAACAAAAGCACTTTAATTATTAGAAAACAACGTTTAAGCAGCAGTACAAACACATTGTAGCACCGGTAATGATCTACTTAATGTATTTTGTCCCGTTCACCATTCATGGATTGGGTACCCCAACAATCATATTTAACCTATATATACATACATATATATATATATATATATATATATATATATATATATATATGATATTTTCAGTCTGCAGGAGATCCAACTGCTCTCAGTTCGCCACGTGAGCGAGAAACACTTAGTACTCTTTCCTAAGGGACATGACTCACAAAAGGTTACATCAGAAGTACCATGAATTGGTACCAATTTATTTGAAATTAAAAACTTAATTATTGAATTGGCAGGATGACCAAGCCTAGCATGCCATTTTTGGACTGAACACCGTACTCCTACCAAGGCTGAAATTGAAGACCTGAACTGTCCACTTCCGTGTCATGAGGTCCTTAACAAGGAAAAAAATATGAAAATATTAGTAGATAGCAATTGTTGTCTAAGGTAAACCTATGGGCATATATGATGTTTTGAGAGGCAGTGGGACAGTGAAGGACATTATTCAAATCAAATGAACAAGCTTTAGTTTGTAGTTGATTGGAACCAAAATGAGAAATAGTGATGCTAGAATCATTACCTACACCCCCAATAGTTTCATTACTGTTAAAATACATGAAATAAACATGTTGGAATAATGATGAAATTAGGCTAGTCAACTTTCTTGTTCAAAGTTAGGCAAGTTAGGTTAGTCAAGCAAGATAGGTAAGTTAGGCAAAATTAGGCTTATGATCTTTTTCTTCCCTATATATATGTTTCATCTTGTAATTGTTTCATCAAGCAAATATACATCAAAATTCAATATGGTATCAGAGCTGTGATCTGGGAAAAACCACAAAACACAGCTCTAAAGCAGCCACGAGGTCAACCATTCTAGGCATGGCCTCTCATTCAAAATGGGAAAATCCCAACCACCCGCTCTATCTCCACCACTCAGATCAACCTGGTGCAATCCTCGTACCACAACCATTGGTGGAAGACAACTACAACACATGGGTTCAATCCATGAGTATGGCCTTAACGGTCAAGAACAAACTTGGTTTTGTTGATGGAACGATCAACAAACCAAGTGAGGATAATTTTGAGGAGCTACAGCAATGGAATCGCTGCAACAACTTGGTCAAGACATGGCTACTAGGCTCCATGTCAAAGGAGATTTCAGGGAGTGTCATCAACTACAAGGATGCTCGACAAATGTGGACCCGATCTGCAGGAGAGGTTCTCACATGTGAATATAGTTCAGCTGTTCCATGTTGAGAACGAGATCCATGATTGTGTCCAAAGCAATATGAGTGTAAGTTCTTACTTCACTAAACTTAAAAGTTTATGGGATGAACGTGATACTTTGTGTTCCATTCCAGCATGCAGTTGTGGAACAAAGAATGAGATGAACTCATATGTTGAAACTCAGAAAACCATGAAGTTCCTTATGGGACTGAACGAATCGTATGCTACGGTTCGAAGCAATACTCTTCTTCTCGAACCACTGCCTACGGTGAACAAGGCATATGCGTTGGTCCTTCGACATGAACGCCAGGCAGAGGTTTCCAATGGGAAAAGCACACAACTAGAAACTGCTGTCTTTGCAGTGAAGAATCTGTCGCGAGAACCTACACCTGAAGACAAGGAGATGCGATGTGGAAAGTGCAATAAAACCAATCACATCACCAAAAATTGTCGTGCACATCTCAAGTGCACTTTTTGCGGATGGAAAGGCCACACCTTCGATTTCTGTCGAAAACGGAAAGCAGCCACAGAGACCGAATCCAATCGTCTCTTTTCTTCAAAGGGCAATCAAGTTTCACAAAGTAACAAGCAAGAGACAGTGCCTAATTTCCCGTTCTCTCAGGAGGACTGCAAGCAAATCCTTCAGATGTTGAACAAGAACAAATCATCATTTGCCAATCAAGTCAGTAATCTTCCTAGTCATGAAGAACTTTCAGGTAAAGCCTTATCTTTTTCATGTAAAGGAACCAAAAGTATTTGGATCCTGGACAGTGGTGCCACAGATCACATAGTTTGCAGTCTTAGTCTCCTTACACACTCACGAGCTGTTGAAAATCATACAGTTGAACTGCCAAATGGTTCCGTTGCCAAAGTCACTCACATTGGACAAGTTGTTTTCTCTCATAATCTTATCCTTGAAAATGTCATATGTGTGCCGTTCTTTAGGTTGAATTTAATATCTATCAGTAAACTAGCCTATGATTCCTTATATGTCACCATTTTCTTCACCCAATTTTGTGTCATTCAGGACCTTCGCTCGGGGAAGATGATTGGGACAGGAACTGAAAGGGATAGACTATACTACCTCGACCCATCAAAGAAAGGAACATGCAACAATGTTCAAACCGTCTCACCAAAGCTTTGGCACCAACGCCTAGGACACCCATCTCATAAAGTCACTTCGTTATTACCTTTATTTAACAATAAGGCTTGTGATTTGGAAAAATGTTTAATTTGCCCATTGGCCAAACAAACAAGATCACCCTTTCCTTTGAGCTCTATTTCTACCAAATCATGTTTTGAATTATTGCATATTGATATTTGGGGTGGTTATCAAGTTGCTTCTATTTCAGGTGCCAAGTATTTCCTTACCATCGTAGATGACTACACTAGAAGCACTTGGGTTTATTTGATGAAACATAAATCTGACACAAAAGACATTTTAGTCGGATTCATTCAAATGATTGAGACTCAATTCAATACCAGAGTTCAAATCATACGAAGTGACAATGGCCCTGAGTTTAAGCTTGAGCAATTTTATGCTCTCAAAGGCATCATACATCAATCTAGTTGTGTCAACACCCCACAACAAAATGGTGTTGCCGAACGTAAACACCGGCATTTGCTCAACGTTGCTCGGGCTTTGCTCTTTCAAGCTTGTTTGCCAAAACGTTTTTGGGGGGATGCAATCTTAACCTCAGCCTACCTCATCAACAGAACACCCACTCCACTTCTCCAAGGTAAAACACCTTACGAAAAACTGTTTCACAAAGCACCTAACTATTCCCATTTAAAGGTTTTCGGTAGTTTATGTTTTGCTTCTACACACGCCCAAAGGCCCTCTAAATTCGACCCCCGTGCAATCCAATGCATTTTTCTTGGGTATCCTTATGGTCAAAAGGGTTATAAATTGTTTGATATAAAACACAATAAGACTTTTGTTTCTAGGGATGTTGTTTTTTTTGAAGATCATTTTCCATTCCAAAATCATACCACTTCCGCTGCCCCGTCTCCATCAAACATTACACCCTCACCTATCACGTTTGACTTGACCTCTCCCATTGAGTCGCACTCAAGCCTTGCACCCGAAGAAATAAACATCACATCTCCCACACTTGCCGACATCACACCAATCTCATCTCCTTTACCTACTACAACTCCACCACCAGATACCTTATCAACACCTTCACATACCCTACACTCTTCACCACCTCCAACAACTCCATCACCAGACCAACCACCTCCACTCCGTCGTAGCACTCGACCGACCAAAACTTCCACATTTTTGCAGGACTTTCATGTTGAGGTGGCCCTCCCTTCCCGTGTTGCTCCCACATCTTCCACAAGCATGGTCCAGTCATCAGGTACATCTCACCCCATATCTCGTTATTTATCTTATGACCATGTATCCCCCACTCACAAAAACATTTCTCACCACCCTCACCATTATCAAAGAACCCACCAGTTTTTCGCAAGCTGTTCAGGATCCAAAATGGCGTGACGCCATGCAAAAAGAGATTGTTGCCCTTCATGACAATCGCACTTGGACTCTTGTGCCCTTACCACCTCACAAACATCCCATCGGTTGCAAATGGATCTATAAGGTGAAGCTTAAACCTGACGGCAGTGTTGAACGCTACAAAGCTCGTCTCGTTGCTAAAGGCTACAGTCAAATTGAGGGGCTTGATTATCGGGAAACTTTTGCTCCAGTTGCCAAGCTCACCACCGTCCGCGTCCTCCTGAGTATTGCCTCCATACGAGGCTGGCATCTTCATCAACTTGATGTGAACAACGCATTTTTGCATGGTGACTTAGACGAGGAGGTTTATATGTCCTTGCCTCCTGGGTTCGGACGAAAGGGGGAGACACGAGTATGCAAATTACACAAATCCATTTATGGTTTAAAACAGGCCTCGAGACAATGGTTTATCAAGCTGTCTAGTGCTCTCAAGACTGCTGGTTTTCATCAATCATGGTCAGATTACTCATTGTTCGTCCGAAACCGTCAAAGCAGTTTTATGGCATTACTTGTGTATGTTGATGACGTGATACTTGCAGGTAACAATTTGAGAGAAATTGAAGAGACTAAACTCTTCCTTTCCCAACATTTTAAACTAAAGGATTTGGGAAAACTCAAATACTTTTTGGGGATAGAAGTTGCAAGATCTAAACAAGGGATTGCCTTGTGCCAACGCAAATATGCGTTGGAGATACTAGAAGATGCTGGGTTCCTTGGTACGAAGCCCTCACGATTACCAATGGAACCAAACCTTTCCCTTACACAAACTGATGGGACGCTCCTACATGATCCTTCTTCATACAGGCGACTTGTAGGGAGGCTGATTTACTTAACCATCACGCGACCTGACCTGACTTATGTGGTTAATATGTTGAGCCAATTCATGGACAAGCCACGACAACCACACCTTGAAGCGGTGCATAAGGTTCTCAGGTACATCAAACAATCTCCTGGACAGGGAATTCTTTTGCCTTCTACAGGTTCACTACAATTACAAGCCTTTTGTGATGCTGATTAGGCTCGGTGTAAAGACACTAGAAGGTCAATAACCGGTTATTGTATCTTCCTTGGACAAGCACCGATATCTTGGAAAACGAAGAAACAAAGCACAATATCTCGTTCTAGTGCAGAGGCAGAATACCGTTCTATGGCTACTACTTGTTGTGAAGTTATATGGCTAAGAAACATTTTGAAGGACTTGCAAGTAAATCATGCACAACCAGTCACAATGTTTTGTGATAATCAAGCTGCCATGCACATTGCTTCGAACCCAGTGTTTCATGAACGAACGAAGCATATAGAGATAGACTGTCACCTAGTACGTGAGAAGATTCAAATGGGAATGGTGCAAACAGCTTACATACGAAACCTCGAATCAACCTGCAGACTTGTTCACCAAACCACTAAGCTCGGCACAATTTGAGGTCTTAATTAGCAAGTTGGGTGTCATCGACATTCACACTCCAACTTGAGGGGGAGTGTTAAAATACATGAAATAAAACATGTTGGAATAATGATGAAATTAGGCTAGTCAACTTTCTTGTTCAAAGTTAGGCAAGTTAGGTTAGTCAAGCAAGATAGGTAAGTTAGGCAAAATTAGGCTTATGATCTTTTTCTTCCCTATATATATGTTTCATCTTGTAATTGTTTCATCAAGCAAATATACATCAAAATTCAATAATTACCATTGTATTATTTGGGATTAACCAAAATTTGAAGTTCAGGAGTACATGTGCATTAGCACCAGTGTCTAACAGCCAGGTACCATTGGATTGCTTGTTCAAAATGATCGGCGAAGAGGACATGGCTATGAGTCTTTTGGCAGGAATCCTACCTTCATAAGCAGCGTTCATCCTTTGGTAGCAATCAAGGGCAGGATGACCTGGTTTGCCACAGATTTGGCAAATGATACGCTTACCAGGACAAGGAGGTCTCTCACTATTAGCGAGCTGATTGCGCTGGTTGTTATCGTTACGAGGATTGTATCCTCGTTGATTGGACATAGAACCACGATTAAATGGAGATGTACCTCTTCCAGTCCCACGAGAGCGTGAGTAGCAACAAAGGCATTGACAGGTGCAGGTTCAGCCAAGGAAACATTCTGATCTGCCATTCTTTGCTCGGTAGTCAACATAAGTGCCTCAAGGGTGGGATAGGTGATAGGGGTATCCTGAGCTTGAGCAGCACTTACTGTTATTTCAAACTTAGGTCCTAGATTGTTCGACACAATCTACACAAGTTCATCATCATTCACAGGTTGCCCCGCTAGGGCAAGGTTGTCAGCGATCGCACTCATGCGATCTAGGTAATCCGCAACAGAAAGATCACCCTTCATAGTCTGCAACAACTCATTGCGCATGAATAAAATTCTGTTCTAAGAAATGGAGGCAAACATTTGCTCCAAAGCTTCCCAAGTGGCACGTGCAGTCCTCTTGCTTGTCACAGTAAACAAAACAAAAGCAGTCAATGAACCATTTATTCAACTGAGAATCATTTGATCTTGTTGGATCCATGCAGTGTACACAGGATCCACAGTGGTAACACCATGCAAGTTTTTGGGAGGGCATACCAAAGTACCATCCACGTACCCCATCAGATCTCTACTCTTGAGAATTGGGAGAATTTGAGCCAACCACAGTGGGTAGTTGGTTCTGTCAAGTTTGATATTGACAACAGTGGAAAATGGATGGAAGGCAGTGGTGGTAGGTGGGTTGGAGGAGGTGGAATTGGAAGAGTTGACATTGTTTTCAGCCATTGAAGCGTGGAAAAAAAAAAACAAGGATCTAGTCGTTAGACAGTAAGGCTCAATACCATATAAGAACTTTAGCACACTCAGGATTCACTTCAATTGCATACCCAATCTATAATGGGATGCTTGTATTTATAACAACTTCAGGATTACAATATGGGTTTGAAAACCCTGGATACAAGGAGCTTTTTAAAATACAAACAGAAACACAAGATTACATACACAACTTTGCGTACAACAAATATTTGAAATACAAATCCTAAAAACTAGGAGTATCAGAAAGAATAAAAGTTTGATCAGAATCCCAACTCCTCAGATTGCGGTGAGTACAGCTTAACCTTGACTTCGTCTAACATTAGGTACCTCTAGAATCACTATCTCGTTCCCCATTGGTTTTGATTGAGACGTGTCTGCTTTCGCATTGATCACCGGCTTCCAGTCGCCCACGTATTCTCATACAAAGATGTTGGACTACTTTTTTCAGCAAATGTCAAATATCCAAGGAACAAATATCTGATATTTCAAAGTTTTATCCCTATGACTTTGAGAGCAATGGTAGACTTTTCCTTGTAACAAAATTGAAAAGTCATTTCCTCACAAGGAAATTACAGATACGCTTCGCATTTCTTTTTCTAAAAAAACATATTAGAATTCCGATGGGGTTTAGAACCGAAACCATTGGTAGTATTTTCGGTTCCACCATGTTCTTCCTAATCTTCTTCATCTTGCTTCTGTCACAGCATCATTGTGCTGAAGTTTATGAAATAACGCCGTCACAACCATTTTCACAGACACAAACCCTTGTCTCCCCCAGCCGCATTTTCGAATTGGGGTTCTTCAGTCCTAATGGTTCGGTTAACAAGTACGTGGGGATATGGCACACGAACATATCTCCGCGTAAAGTTGTATGGGTTGCCAACAGAGAAAATCCTATTGCAGCTTCAGATACCTTGGCTAATTTGACAATTAGCAGCAATGGGAATCTGGAGCTTGTAGATGGGAAGCAGAATTCTCTTTGGTCAACGAATATTTCAGTGCCATCTAATGGTTCAGCTGCAGAGCTTTTGGACAACGGAAATCTTGTCGTAAAAGATGATGATGTCGGAGCTGATCCATTGTGGCAGAGTTTTGATTATCCTAGTGACACAATTCTACCAAATATGGTGCTGGGATTCAATAGTAAATCCGGAAAGCGCAGTTTAATGAAAGCCTGGAAAAGTGAGAGTGATCCATCAGCTGGCTTGTTCTTGGCTGGACTTTCACGGGACGTTCCATCACAAGTGTTCATTTGGATTAATGAATCGAAACCCTACTGGAGAAGTGGGGCATGGGATAAATCCATGTTCATCGGGGTACCGGATATGGATGGTCAATATCTAAGTGGATTCACTCTAAATGCTGATGTGAACCAGGGAACAAAATATTTTTCTTATAGGTTTTTTGACAATACGCTTTCATATTTTGGCATCTCTTCGGACGGAGTACTGAGTCTTAAGCTTTCGGACAATGGCAGCAACTGGTGGCTAAGCTGGGAGGCACTGGTGAATCCATGTGAAATTTATGGAACATGTGGAGTTAATGGTGTCTGCAAAGGTTCTGAATCTCCAAATCCAAATTGCGAGTGTTTGAAAGAGTTCGAAATGGAAACACGACTGGAGGGTGTGTGAGGCACACCGAATTGTTTTGTGATCAGAGTAACACAAGCAGGTCATTTTCTTCAGGAGGCAAAAAAAGAGCTTTGGTCTGGTCCAGTGACCAAACCAAACGAGAATTATCAGTATCTTTTGTTTTCTGTCTCATACTTTACTCATTGCAATTCATAAATTCATTTTTTCAGATGAAGGAAAGCCAGTAAAGCTAATTGCCAGCGTCACTGCTGTTGGTTTTATCAGTATCTTGAGTGCCATAGTATTCGGCGTGCACAAACTGCGCGCTAAAAAAACCGGTAAGAGAATAACATAGAGTGATAGCATTATTCAAATTAGTACATAACTTCCATGCATAACTTCACAAGAACATATTTACTGATTGATATCCATTACTCGATAACCTTGTTATGATTGCTATATTTTTTAAACAGGGAACATGAAAGGAAAAAACAAAGTTAATGCAGTTGAATCATACAAGTGATCATTCAGGTGACAATCTTCAAGAATACATAAGAAAACATGATCCGTCGGAGCTATTCATCTACGACTTTGACAGCATATTAACTGCTACAAACAATTTCAGCACCACGAACAAACTCGGGGAAGGAGGTTTCGGCCCTGTTTACAAGGTGACTATATACTTGTTTATTCATTTCAATTTCTAAAGGAAATTATAGTGTTTTTCAACACCGGCTAGAAGCCTACAACTACAAGTTGCAGACATGAATCGAATGTTTAATTTATATTTGTAGGGTAAGCTACAAGAAGGGAAGGAAACAGCCGTAAAAAGACTATCCAGTAGCTCGGGGCAAGGCATGGAGGAGTTCAAGAATGAGATGCTGTTGATCTCCAAACTCCAACACAAGAATCTTGTTAGGATCATGGGCTGCTGCGTCAAAGACGATGAAAAGTTACTGATTTATGAATTCATGCCGAACAAAAGCTTGGATACTCTTCTATTTGGTTAGTTTCACTGCCACTTTTCATGTTTCGATGAAATTTCTCATTGTTACATATTGTTCTTTTGTTACCGTAATTGGCAATCCCTTAGCTCTTTGTAATCCCCCACTAATTATGATTTTGTTACTGTTATTGCTTACATTTTTATGGATTTATTGATTAGATCCTAAGTGCAGAGAAGAGCTTGATTGGGCTACACGCTTCAATATTATCCAGGGAGTTGCTAGAGGATTTCTTTACCTCCACCACGATTCCTGTTTGAAGGTAATCCATAGAGATTTGAAGGTTAGAAACATTCTCCTAGATGAGAATATGTGACACGCCCCAACCTGATATACCCAAATACTAGGATGGGCATGTGTTGGCCGACACGTGAGAGTGTCGAAGCCATTTTAAACATGCAAACAATAAGATAAATAATTAGAAAGAAACATGTCGACGCGGAACATGTTCAGAGCATACAACTAATCAAGGAATACATGAAAGAATTACAATAAAATATATGAATAAAGGAGTGGTTCTACACTGGAAAGACTCGAAGATACCTACGTAAAGATGCCCTAACGCCGGGATCATGTGCCTCGAACCTAAATCCTGAAGGGGGCGCAAAACAGAAAAGGTGAGTGGACCAAAGTTTATAATAATACTAATAATACGAAAACCATTTTAATTTAGAACATAATAACCCCCCGTTTTGAAAACACATATAGTACTACATAATTGGTTCTCTGAAAACCCTAGCATGCTGTGCAATCATTTGGAGAACATATATATGTACCACGATACTCCAAGATGGTAGTAAAACCACACAAAGGTAAATCTATAAAACCTCCGCCCGAAGGCAAAATCCATAACTCTCAATTGTACCATACTTTCTAGGGGTATCATAGTCGTCCAAAGGTAGTACATGTCCATCACCCGAAGGTGAAGCTGTACGACTCTGGGTTATGCCAGTGAACAAACATGGTAGGCCCTATCACCCGAAGGTAAAGCTGTACGACTCCGGGTTACGCCGGAGAAGAAACTCTATAACATCTCACATCGACACTAGCCGTGGCTCGTGAAGTTGTCCGACACTACTTTCGGCAGTGAAGTTGGAGGTATAACATATATCTCACTCCTCCTCATCACCGTGTCCTATGGCCATAGACATCTAATTCTTGTGTTGTGTGGATGTGTTGTATCATAACCCACTAGATATATATCTATATCCAAAACATAACTCAAATCGCATGCCAAATTGTAAAGATTCAAAAGTTCCAAAACCCCATAAAATAATACCTCCTCACAAATCCACTGAAAATCATACGTATCAATCAATAGTTTATAACCCTTAATATAATGTAAACCGAATATATCCAAAATATTCCAAATATCAAAGATTTGCAATTTCATCAAACATATTTTAAAACATATGCAACTCTGAAATAAAATATACATGCAACCCTAAGGTTTATAAAACCATGCAAGTTATGAAGGGGTCCACTCACAAGTCTTCCTTTGCCCGGGAGCCGCTCAACTAGCGAGGGAGGTGCCACTTCCCACAGATGTACCTAGATATAAAATGTAAAAATTGAGACTGATTCCATCTTGGGGTCATCGGGAACAACCAAAAAGGTCGTTGGATTCCTAGCCTGAAATCAGAGAAGAAGATAAGGGTTAAAACCCTGAAATTCTCACTCAATTTCGACATGCAGTGTACCTTAATTGTACCTGAGATCAGAAGAAGTTGAGTCCAACTAAATCGACAACGATTCCTTTCGAATTTCGCCTTGAGTTCACCAGAAAACTAGAAAAGCAAAGACAGAGATTAAATTCTGTAAATCCTTCAATTTCTCAGCTCGAAATTTTCCCCACATCACTCATTAACCTTGGATTAAACACTAAATGAGGCAGATGTTTCACCTGAACCGACGGGGAAGACTCGAAGCTCACGGTTCAGTGAGTTCGAAACTCTGCCATGCGCAGATGATCCATGCAGAGCCACTGCTGAGATCCTCAGGCAACCCTTTATCTATTTCTGGTGATTTTGTGTTGAACCAAGCTGTAAGAGATGGCGGTTGTGAGTGGTGATGCTCGGGAAATTAGAGAGAGTGAGGTTGAGTTACAGAGAGCTTCAACGGGAGAGATGAGAGGGAGAGAGTTATGGGTCACGTGTGAGAGAAAACAAGGAATAAAAGAATGTGTGGGCCGGGTTTTTGGGCTGGTGATAACACAGCCCAATTGTTTGGGCCTAAATAACAAAACCCACCCGATGGCAAACCTGTAAAAAGGTCGTACCCAGTGCACAAGGCTCCCGCTTTACGCAGGGTCTGGGAGAGGTGAATGTCGGCTAGCCTTACCCCCATTTATGGAGAGGCTGCTCCCAAGTCTCGAACCCGAGACCTACCGCTCATGGGCGAAGGCACTTGCCATCGCACCAAGTGCGACCTCTTTACCCGATGGCAAACCTGTAATTTACATAAAAAATTGGAACGGGTTATTATAATAAAAAGGTCGTACCCAGTGCACAAGGCTCCCGCTTTAAGCAGGGTCTGGGAGAGGTGAATGTCGGCTAGCCTTACCCCCATTTATGGAGAGGCTGCTCCCAAGTCTCGAACCCGAGACCTACCGCTCATGGGCGAAGGCACTTGTCATCGCACCAAGTGCGACCTCTGAACGGGTTATTATAATATGAATAAAAAAATTTCAGATTTTGGATTGGCACGAATCGTTGAAGTGACAGAGTATAGCAAATACGCACAAGGTCGTGGAAACACGGTAAGTGTCATTCTGTTCCTATTATTAGCATTTTTCTTAAGACCAAAAATAGAGAAGACATTTTTTTCCAATTATTAATACAAATGAATTGCTGGTGCAGTATGTCTCCAAAGTATGCCATGGGTGCGATATTTTCTGAAAAATCTGATGTCTATAGTTTTGACGTCTTGCTATTGGAGATTATCGCCAACAAAAAGAATACTAGCTTCTATTGCAACGAGGAACAGCATGGATTCTTAGCTCATGTAAGCTAATCACTCAAAATCTTCATTTGGATTTGTGTTTTTAAGATGCTAAATATAGCAGATTCTAACAATTGTAGGCAACATTCACGATATGACTTTTGCCGGGTTCGGCACTTATGGAATGAAGGCAGGGGACTGGACTTGCTAGATGAAGTACTGTTGGATTCATATTCGTCCTCAGAAGCAATGAGATGCATACACATCGGACTCCTTTGCGTGCAGGACAACTGGACAAGTCTGAAGATAGGCCAACCATGCCGGACGTAGTTTTCACTAAGTAGCTTTCGATCAAAGGAACACTTGAGCCTTATTGCATTTGTAAGTACACACATGATGTTTCAAATGCGAAGTGCACGCTATTACGTCTCTAATTCGTAGCTGCAACATTGGAACGGTACTTTGGAATGTTTTCAGTCACCCACATATTCTCATACTATTGTATATGCAAAGATAAGAGGACTACGTTTTCAGTCAAATGTCAAACATCTACAACGAACTATATCTGATGTTTCAAAGTTTTCTGCCTTTGAGAGCAATTGGTAGACTTTTCCTCATAATAAAATCGAAAAGTCATTTTCTCCCAACGAAATTTAAAGATACTCTTCACCTTTCTTTTTCTAGAAAACGTATTAGAATTCAATGGGGATTCGAACAAAACCATTGCTAGTATTTTCGATTCCACCATGTTCGTCCTAATTTTGTTCAGCTTGCTTCTGTCACAGCATCATTGTGCTGACGTTTATGAAATAACTCCATCACAACCATTTTCACAGACACAAAGCCTTGTCTCCCCGAGCCACCTTTTCGAATTGGGGTTCTTCAGTCCTAATGATTCGGTTAACAAGTACGTGGGGATATGGCACACGAACATATCTCCACGGAAAGTTGTATGGGTTGCCAACAGAGAAAATCCTCTTGCAGCTTCAGATACCTTGGCTAATTTGACAATTAGCAGCAATGGGACTCTGGAGCTTGTAGATGGGAAGCAGAATTCTCTTTGGTCAACGAATATTTCGGTGCCATCTAATGGTTCAGCTGCAGAGCTTTTGGACAGCGGAAATCTTGTCGTAAAAGATGATGATGTCGGTGCTGATCCATTGTGGCAGAGTTTTGATTATCCTAGTGACACACTTCTACCAAATATGGTGCTGGAATTCGATAGTAAATCCGGAAAGCGCAGTTTAATGAAAGCCTGGAAAAGTGAAAGTGATCCATCAGCTGGCTTGTTCTTGGTTGGACTTTCACGGGACGTTCCATCACAAGTGTTCATTTGGATTAATGAATCGAAACCCTACTGGAGAAGTGGGGCATGGGATAAATCAAGGTTCATCGGGGTACCGGATATGAATAATCAATATCTAAGTGGATTCGCTCTACATGATGATGTGAACCCGGGAACAAAATCTTTTTCTTATAGGTTTTTTGACAATTCGCTTTCATATTTCTTGGCATCTCTTCGGATGGAGTACTGAATCTTAAGCTTTCGGACAATGGCAGCAACTGGTGGCTTAACTGGGAGGCACCGGTGAATCCATGCGACATTTATGGAACATGTGGTGTTTATGGTGTCTGCAAAGGTTCTGAATCTCCAAATCCAAATTGCGAGTGTTTGAAAGGGTTTGTACCCAAAATCAAATAAGGAATGGAGCAACGGAAACAGGACTGGAGGGTGTGTGAGGACTACCGAATTGTTTTGTGATCAGAGTAACACAAGCAGGTCATTTGCTTCAGGAGGAAAAGAAGATGGGTTTCGGAAGATGGTGGGATTAAAGCTACCAGATTTTCATGAGCTTATCGAAAATCTGGAGGCTGACGAGTGCAAGATAAGATGCCTAAATAATTGTTCTTGTCAGGCTTATGCGCAAGTTAATAATATAGGGTGTTTGGTCTGGTCCAGTGACCTTATTGATATACAAGAGTTTGCCTCTGGCGGGATGGATCTTAATATTCGCCTAGCAAACGGAGAATTAGGTAAACAAATGAGAATTATTTCCGGCAGAATTATAATTAGAAGTTTCTTATATTTTCTGTCTCGTACTTTATTCATTGCAATTTATAAATTCATTTTTTTTTTCAGACAAAGGAAAACCAGTAAAGCTAATTGCCAGCGTCACTGCTGTTGGTTTTATCAGTATCTTGAGTGCCATAGCGTTCGGCGTTCAGAGACTGCGCCGTACAAAAACAGGTAAGAGAATAACATAGAGTTATAGCAGCTGATGCATTATTCAAATTATGCATAACTTCACAAGAACATATTTCCTGATTGATATCCATTACTTGATAACCTTGTTGTGATGAAGTTGTTGTGATTGTTATATTTTCGAAACAGGGAACATGAAAGAAAAAACAAAGTTAATGCAGTCGAATCATAGAAGTGATAATTCAAGGGACAATCTTCAAGAATACATAAGAAAACATGATCCATCGGAGCTATTCATCTACGATTTTGACAGCATATTAAATGCCACAAACAATTTCAGCACCGTGAACAAACTCGGGGAAGGAGGTTTCGGCCCTGTTTACAAGGTAACTATTTATTTATTTATTTCAATTCCAAAAGGAAAATATGGTGTTTTCAACACCGGCTAGAAGCCTAAAACTACAAGACACAGATATAAATCGAATGTTTAATTTCTAGGGTAAGCTACAAGAAGGAAAGGAAATAGCAGTAAAACGACTATCTAGTAGCTCGGGGCAAGGCATAGAGGAGTTCAAGAATGAGATGCTGTTGATCTCCAAACTCCAACACAAGAATCTTGTTAGGATCATGGGCTGCTGCGTCAAGGACGATGAAAAGTTACTGATTTATGAGTTCATGCCTAACAGAAGCTTGGATACTCTTCTATTCGGTTAGTTTCACTGCCACTTTTTATGTTTGGATGAAATTTCTCTTTGTTACATGTTGTTCTTTTGTTACCATAATTGGCAATTCTTTAGCTCTTTGTAATCCCCCACTACTTATGATTTTGTTACTAATATTGGTTGCACTTTTTATGGATATTTTTATTAGATCCAAAGCGCAAAGCAGAGCTTGATTGGGCTAGACGCTTCAATATTATTCAGGGAGTTGCTAGAGGGCTTCTTTATCTCCACCACGATTCCCGTTTGAAGGTAATCCATAGAGATTTGAAGGTTAGTAACATTCTCTTGGATGAGAATATGAACCCAAAAATTTCAGATTTTGGATTGGCACGAATCGTTGAAGCAACACAGAGTCTAGCAAATACTCACAAGGTTGTGGGAACACTGTAAGCACATTATTTTCATATTATTGGCACTTTTATTAAGACCAGAAACAGAGAAGTCATTTTTTTCAGTTATTAATACAAGTGAATTGCGTTGCAGCAGTGGCTATATGTCTCCCGAATACGCCATGGGTGGGATATTTTCTGAAAAATCTGATGTCTATAGCTTTGGTGTCTTGCTATTGGAGATTATCGCCGGCAAAAAGAATACTAGCTTCTATTACAACGAAGAACAGCACGGATTTTTAGCTTATGTAAGCTAATCACTCAAAATCTTCATGTGGATTTGTGTTTTTTAAGATGCTAAATATAGCAGATTCTAACAATTGTAGGCAACATTCAGAATTTTGTCAGGTTTACTTATGGAATGGACTTGCTGGATTATGAATATTGTCATCGAAGTAACAAGATGCATGCATATCGATTTCTCTGCGTACAGGACAAGTCTGAAGATAGGCCAATCATGCCGGACGTAGTTTTCACACTAAGTAGTGAGACGAATCTTCCACTACCTAAGCAGCCTATATTTTCTATTTCCGAAACGCAGTCTATAATCCTCAACCTCAATATGAAATATTTTCTCTGCAAATGAAGCAGGGGACTGGACTTGATGAAGGTCTGGATGAATGTATTGGCGGATTCATATTCGTCATCAGAAGTAACAAGATGCATGCATATCGGAACAGGACAAGTCTGAAGATAGGCCAATTCATGCCGGACGTAGTTTTCACACTAAGTGTGAGACGAATTTTCCACTACCTAAGCAGCCTATATTTTCTAATTTCCGAAACGCAGTCTATAATCCTCAACCTTATTATTTTCTCTGCAAATGAAATATAACCATTATCGAAGTGCTGGATTTTGGTGATTGAAAGTGTAAGGTTACTGCACGTGTAAAATTTCTGCATCTTGTACACCGCAAATCTGCTATTTAATTAGTACAGTGGTAGACTGAGTTGAAAGATCGAAACATTTTTAAGGAATTCTTCTTCTGAACCTTATATATTTTCCACTATAAATACGAACGGATCATGCGTGTGGAAATCACACTTGCATGGCAATGGCAAGCATGATATGAATCGACAAAAAAAGAGATGACACTGCCCGCAATGCGGATTTCCTTCGACTTGTTTCTGTAACGATTTTGATCAAGGCCGATGCTGATGCTTGTCTCGGCTAGTAAAATAAAATTGTCAAGATGTAAAATTTGAAACTACCAAAAAAAAAAATTACGAACAAAAGCACTTTAATTCTTAGAAAACAACATTTAAACAGCAGTACAAACACACTGTAGCACCGGTAATGATCTACTTAATGTATCTTGTCCCGGTGACGATCATATTTAACCTATATATGTATGTGTGTGTGTGTGTGTGTGTGTCTGTGTGATATTTTCGGTCCTGCAGGAGATCCAATTGCTCTCAGTTCGCCACGTGAGCGAGAAACTAGAGGTAGCATTCTCATAATGAACGTTAGGTGTGTCCAGAAGGAGCCAAAATCTATATCAAAGTCTTCTGCATGACTTTGACTGCATTAATTGAATTTTAGCCCAAAACAGTATTTCAATGTTTGATCGTATTGCTTTTCAGGGAATTTTTAATCATTCAGATGCAAATTAGAACCGAAAGTAGTGTTAGTACGATGAATTCCTCCATGTTCTTCCTATTCTTCTTCAGCTTGCTTCTTCTGTCACGGCACCATTGTGCCGAAGTTTACGAGATAAGTCCTGCGCAACCATTATCAGAGGGACAAACTCTTGTCTCCCCCCGCCATGTTTTCGAATTGGGATTCTTCAGTCCTAATAATAATTCCGGTAATAAGAAGTATGTGGGGATATGGCACAAGAGTATTTTTCCTCGAAAAGTTGTATGGGTGGCCAACAGAGAAAAGCCGATTGCAGCTTCAGACACCTTGGCTAGTTTGAGAATAAGCAGCATGGGGAATCTGGAGCTTGTAGATGGAAAACAGAATCCTCTTTGGTCAACGAATATTTCGGTGCTATCTAATGGTTCAGCTGCATCTCTTTTAGACACCGGAAACTTTGTCGTAAAAGATGATGATGTCGGAGCTGAACCGTTGTGGCAGAGTTTTGATTATCCTAGTGACACACTTCTACCAAGTATGCTGCTGGGGTTCAATAGCAAATCTGGAGAGACGAATTTCCTGACTTCCTGGAAAAGTGAGAGTGATCCATCGACGGGGATGTTCATGGTTGGATTGACACCAGAGGTGCCATCACAGATTGTAATTTGGATTAATGGATCAACTCCCTACTGGAGAACCGGGCCATGGGATAAATCAAAGTTCATCGGGCTACCAGGTACAAATGATGCATATACAAGTGGATTCAGATTAGATGATAATGCAGAGGAAGGAACAAAGTATTATTCTTATAGTTCTTATAATTACGGGGACGTTTTGGCGTACTCAGACATCTCTTCAGACGGTACACTTAAGTTTATGAATTCGGAACGTGGAGAGTACTGGATTCTTGACTTTTTAGCACAAAATAACTCATGTGATAAGTATGCAGCATGCGGACCTTTCGGGGTTTGCAAACGTTCTGAATCTCCAACAACTCCAATATGCAAGTGTTTTGAAAGGGTTTGTACCAAAGTCACACGAGGAATGGAGCAAAGGAAACAGGACAGGAGGGTGTGTGAGGCAAACCAAATTGTTTTGTGAGACTAATACAAGTCAGTCAGTCGCTTCGAGAAGAAATGAAGACGGGTTTTTGAAGATGACGCAGTTAAAAAGTACCAGATTTTCATGAATATATCAAGTTTTCAGATGCACAGAAGTGCAGGACACAGTGCCTAAAAAATTGTTCTTGCCTGGCTTATGCACATGTTGATAACATAGGATGTTTGGTCTGGTCCAAAGGCCTTCTTGATATACAGGAATTTGTCTATGGTGGAGAAGATCTTTTTATTCGCCTGGACCGCTCAGAACTCGGTAAATAATAACATTGCTTGTACAGCTCCAATTAGCTAGCTATATGTTTTACACAACTTTTCTGTTACAAATACAATTTTTTCAGGTGAAGGAAAGCCAATAAAGTTAATTGCCAGCCTCGCAGCAATTTGTTTGATTAGCATCTTGGGTGCCCTAGGGTTCGGTTTCCACAGGTTGCAAGCTAATAATAAAAAGGGTAAGAGAATGAGATGGATGTGATTGATATGAGCAAACTAGCAAAAAAATGCTTGGTTTGATCTGAATTATTTGTTAGTCCGCTGATCTGACTCGGTTTTTGATTCTTATGATTTCCATATCAGGAAACGCCAGATTAACTGATACAATTGAGAACGGAAGAGACACTCTTCAAGAATACATTGGAAAGCATGATCCATCAGAGCTGGTCATCTATAATTTCGATAGCATTTTAATCGCAACGAACAATTTCAGTATCACAAACAAACTCGGGGAAGGAGGATTTGGCCCTGTTTACAAGGTGATTGCGCATTCTGTTTTTTCTCTAGCTATAGTATATTATCACAACAGCTACAAGCCTACAAGTATACAACTGCAAGATACAGATATGAATCTAATGATTAATTTTTCGCCGGGCTCGTGTAGGGTAAGCTGCAAGAAGGGAAGGAAATAGNCCCTACGTACAGTGAAGAGTTATATAACTTAGCGTTCGAATCAATTCGCGTTGAATTGTACTTGGGTTGCCATGTCAACGGCGTCAAGTTCTTAGCGGGTGCACGAGATGACAAGTTGTGTAAATAAAACAACGGTGTTCATGTCCCCGGAGGAGGAGAAAGTATAGACATTGAATTCTATGGCAAACTAACAAGTGTCGTGCAATTGCTTTATAAAGACCGGTGCCAAGTGATCCTATTTAAGTGTCGATGGTTGGATACACACCCAGATAGGCATGGAAGTGTGAAAAAAGATCATGGATTACTATTAGTGAACACTACCAAAACTTGGTACGATGACGACCCTTCCATATTAGCAACCATGGCAAAACAAATTGTGTATCTAGATGACCCTAAATCCGGGAGGGGTTGGAAAGTTGTTCAGAAGATGGATCATAGGAACGTGTATGCTATACCATAAATTTTCATCGCCCACGTGTCTGAAAATTCAATTAAAGTGGTTTTTTTTCGCAGAAATTTTCTGACAATTGGGCGACGAATCAATATGTTTCGTCGCTCAAAGTATATTTGCGGGACGAAATATATTGGTTCGTCACGCAATTGTCTGAAAATTCAAATAAAGCGTTTTTTTTTTCCAGAAATTTTAAAAATCTTGCACGATGATTGTTTAGCCTTGCTAGATGAAAACTCTATCGCGTAATATCCTATATTATTAACCCCGTGTGTTTCGTTCCCCCTTACTTCCCTCGTCTCCCTTTTTTCCCCGCGCGATACCCTCTCTTTCCTTCCTCTCTATCTTTGTCTGTTTCTTTTTCACTCACCTCGTCTCTCAGTCCATCGCCTCTTTTTCTATAACAGGTAATTTCCTTTTCAGTTTTTAGTTTCAATTTTGTTTATTGATTGGGGGTTAGAATTAGGGTTTTTATTTTTTTTCAAATTGGGGGCGGTGGGGTTAGATTTAGGGTTCGTAAATTGGAGGTTACATTTAGGTTCTTAAATTAGAGTTTTTACGATTCTTAATTGGGGTTAGATTTAGGTCTTAACTTAAGGGAACAATTTTGGGCAGTGAGGTTAGATTAGGTTTTCTGAAATTGGGGGTTAGATTTAGGGTGCTTCACTGGGGGCTAGATTAAGGTTCTTAAATTAGGGGTTTTTTAATTTCAAGTACAGGGTTCGAGTTAGGGGTTTTCTAATTTAAGTACAGGGTTCTTAAAGTAAGGATTTGCATTGTTGACTGCCACGATTTGTTGATATATAATGGGGTATTACCCTTTGTTGTTGCCTTATTAATATGATAGACTCCATTGTGTTGCTTGTTGAATTCGGCCTCCCAATTTTGAAGTTACATTTACGTTTTGATTTTAATCTTTCTTTTTTGCACAATAATTTGAATTCCTCCATTATAGTTTAGATTATATATATATATATATATATTAGATTTTCATGATGAGAGGTATTAGCAAACTTCTTTTGCTGCAAATCGCAGAGCACATGAACTTTGTTATGATGGGAATGTTTCAATTATTTTCATATTTCTACGTCTCTAAAATCATTGAATCTGCCCATATGCATTCAGAAAATGCTTTTGACTAGCCAATGGACTGAAATTCCTATATGATTATTTCAGTTAACAAGTTCATTTGAAATCAAATCAACAATTAGCAATCCTTTTGTAGCCATTGAAGTTGTAAGCAAGTGAAAACAGAATCAAAATCTGTGTACTAAACAAATTGATTGCCAATTTTGTAGATGTCTCACCTGATTAGAACCCGGAGGCCGATGACTTCTACACCTAGTCCGACGACTATACCTACTACTGCCACCACTGCTCTGACAGAGATGGACCATAGGCCGGTCAATCCGATTCACTCAGATGGTCCTCCAGTCCCACAGGCGTAGGCATCGTCGACTTTTTTTGGTGGCGTTACCTATTAACCCCAGACGAACTTATCGACGCCCTCGTATTGTGGACCAAATGTCGCCATCGGGATCCACAACTGATGCCTCCGGTACACAGCCAAGTATACAATCCTAATTCACTCCTTCATTCCCTTGTTTACTAAGGTTTAGGGTTTAGGGTACACAACCAGGTATTCAATTTGTTAAGTCATGTAAGGATTAAAAAGTTTTCATCGTTCCGAACCTTTTATTAAATTGTTGTGATCATTGTGTTGGATATGTATATTGTTTATATTTATTTCAGGGTTTTGGGAAATGTTTTAATTATAGGGGAGGTTATGGCGAAATTTTAGTAGGATTTGTTATTAGTTATGGGTTAATGATTTTTTTTTCATCTCTTTGCAGCGAAGAAAAACACCCGGAGACCTTGTCGGCAATTGAAGAGGGGGAAGGTCACCTGGGTGACCAACGGTTGTATCCTAATTGGATACGATGAGCGATATCGGGCAGCACCAACGGCGGAGCAACATAGTGCATTAGCCCACGACATTGGGCATGTCGTGCGGACCTTTAGCCCTATGATGTGGAAGTCTTGGAAGGCAATGTCGGAGGAGACGAAGATTACGATGCGCAATCAATTATCCGTACGTAGCATCGCCTTTTTAATGCTTTTCATGTAAAATTTATATATTTATATGTATTACTGTCTTTTATTACTAATGCTTTCAAAATATTTGTTATATTGCAGACAAACTACAATTTGGAGCACATGGACGAGGACAAGTTCACGTATGTCAATCGGCTCTTCTCCGAATGCTACAAGCAGTGGAAGAGTGACCTGCACCAATGCTTCCAGGAGTTTGATGATCCGCATGTCACTCTTGAGGAGGGATGTCCGAAGGAGTTGGAGGACCGACAAGATAGTTGGGTTTGGCTTTACGGTCATTTTTAGTGACGCAACATATGTGGTGCGTTTTTTAATGACGACTTCTTTCATTTTTACTTCTTTTTATTTTTATTTTTATTAATTTTTTTTTTTAATTTTCTTTAACTATTACAACTAATACGTTTATTTTTTGTATAACAGAAGAAGGCGAAGGCGAACAAGATCAATCGAGAGAAGAAGACTCTTCTCCACCATTCGGGTTTGAGGCCTTTCTCCTATAGGATGGAGGCGCGACGGAAGGTATATATTACAACTTTCATTTCCAATTTAAAAATGTCGCTAATAATTTTTTTTTTTCGTACTAACATTTTCCTTATCTTCTTTTTATTTCAGGAGGGTTCAAAATTTTCGGAGATCGACGTCTTTGCTGACGTTTATGTTCGGCCTGGGAATGAGTTGACCCAGTCCCTTCATGTAAGTAATTTCTTATGCATTAAACATTTATACTAATTCTTTCAAATTGTTTTCTATTAATAATCCATGTTTTTTTTCACAGGCAACTATGGTGGAGAAGCGACAGGTGGTGCTTCAGAAGTTCGCCTCCCACCTTCCTCTGGACACGCCGATCAAGTCTGTGGATCCCCCTGAGGATGTAGGGTTTCACATCGTCACTGAGATGTTGGACCAGACTTTCGATCGGAGGCCAGGGACATATTGTCGGGGGATGGGAAATGCTAGGCGTCGAGAGACTGGAGCCTCGTCATTCGCGCAGTCAAAGACCAAGGTTACGGCTTTGACGTAGGAAGTCGCTGGGGGAGTGAGCTGGCATCGTACAAGTCTCAAATGTCAATGCTTGTACAAGCCCTCAGTTCCTCTGGAATACATCTCCCCGATTTTTCTACACCATCGCCCTCACGGCCCTTCCACACCAAGCAAGCACAGCAATCAGGCCCGTCAACCTCCGACCCCGTCCCCAACAACAACAAGATAACCAAGCACCTCCGAATGACACGCCTATAGATTTTGCCTCTTTATTTTCATAGTTTTGTTCCCTTTTTTTTTTAACTTTAACATTTGTACGTACATTTTATGAAATTTGTTTTTTTTTTCCTTTTATTCTTATTTTTTTATTAAAAATTACACGTGCGCGACGACGAAATGTCGTCGCAACAAAATTAAGCGCGTCTTACTCTTCCTAGCGCATTACTACGTGACTACTATAGATTTCGTCGCGCAAACAAGTTTTGAGGCAAATTTACCCACAAACGCACTTGTACTCGTTTATATCGTACGACGAAAAACCTTTGTCCGTATAACTTTTGCGCGACGACTAGTAAAGCGTCGCGCAGTTGTCAAGACGCGCGACAAATTTGAAGATGTTCGTCGCGCAATGTCTTTTTTTCACGAGCTTTGCGCGACAAAATATGCATGGCGATTTTCTGGTCGCCATAAGTTTATGTACGACCAAAATAATTATTTTGCGCAACAAAAATGTCCGTAGTCGGGCAAACTGTTAAATTTAGTAGTGTTTTAAGACAAACAATCCTTAGGGTTAGGCCGCCACTAGCCGACGACACATTGTTTACAGGAAAGAATGCCCACCGAACGGGATCGTAACGTTTCAACGGTCTTCTGCGACAGAGAGGGACTCAATCACTCACCATATCGGACTGCAGCGTGGCATGTGACAAAAAAGTCATATAAATAACACCAATATATAGACAGCCCCACATCATCCACGGTGCACCTCAAGACTGTAGACTGATCGAAGAGGCAGGATATTATTAAAAAATAAATTTACAAAATTACCCTTGCCTTATTTTCAGCATTCTTTTTTATTGCTTTGAACTTTTTTTTGGCAGAGGGGTATTTGTGTCCAAATAATTTTGTCGAAGAGGGTGACCCCAAAATGGGTCTCCAGACTTGGATTGTCTGTCCTTCCATCTCATACTCTTATTATGCTCTCTTATATTATGTGATCACAGTTAAATTACGTTAATATTTTATATTAATATTTTTATAAAAATAATAAAAATATAAAATAGTAACGTGATTTAATCGTGATCATAGAGTATAAGAGAACATCATAAGGGTACGCGATGGGAGGGCACACAATCCAAAGTCCCCGGTTTTATATATAAAAGAAGATATGCGAAGATAGAGGAACACGTTTTCAGTCAAATGTCAAACATCTACAACGAACGATATCTGATGTTTCAAAGTTTTCGGCCCTTGATTTGAGAGCATTGGTAGACTTTTCCTTAGAACAAAATTGAAAAGCCATTTTCTTCCAACGAAATTTACAGATACTCTTCACCTTTCTTTTTCTAGAAAACGCAGTAGAACTGAAATGGGGTTTGGAAAGGAAACCATTGGTAGTATTTTCGATTCCACCATGTTCGTCCTAATTTTGTTCACCTTGCTGCTGTCACAGCATCAGTGTGCTGAAGTTTATGAGATAACTCCGTCACAACCATTTTCACAGACACAAACCCTTGTCTCCCCCAGCCGCATTTTCGAATTGGGGTTCTTCAGTCCTAATGGTTCGGTTAACAAGTACGTGGGGATATGGCACACGAACATATCTCCGCGGAAAGTTGTATGGGTTGCCAACAGAGAAAACCCTCTTGCAGCTTCAGATACCTTGGCTAATTTGACAATTAGCAGCAATGGGAATCTGGAGCTTGTAGATGGGAAGCAGAATTCTCTTTGGTCAACGAATATTTCGGTGCCATCTAATGGTTCAGCTGCAGAGCTTTTGGACAGCGGAAATCTTGTCGTAAAAGATGATGATGTCGGTGCTGATCCATTGTGGCAGAGTTTTGATTATCCTAGTGACACACTTCTACCAAATATGGTGCTGGAATTCGATAGTAAATCCGGAAAGCGCAGTTTAATGAAAGCCTGGAAAAGTGAGATTGATCCATCAGCTGGCTTGTTCTGGGCTGGACTTTCACGGGACGTTCCATCACAAGTGTTCATTTGGATTAATGAATCGAAACCCTACTGGAGAAGTGGGGCATGGGATAAATCAAGGTTCATCGGGGTACCGGATATGAATAATCAATATCTAAGTGGATTCACTCTAAATGATGATGTGAACCCGGGAACAAAATCTTTTTCCTACAGGTTTTTTGACAATTCGCTTTCATATCTTGGCATCTCTTCGGATGGAGTACTGAATCTTAAGCTTTCGGACAATGGCAGCAACTGGTGGCTTAACTGGGAGGCACCGGTGAATCCATGCGACATTTATGGAACATGTGGTGTTTATGGTGTCTGCAAAGGTTCTGAATCTCCAAATCCAAATTGCGAGTGTTTGAAAGGGTTTGTACCAAAATCAAATGAGGAATGGAGCAACGGAAACAGGACTGGAGGGTGTGTGAGGACCACCGAATTGTTTTGTGATCAGAGTAACACAAGCAGGTCATTTGCTTCAGGAGGAAAAGAAGATGGCTTTCGGAAGATGGTGGGATTAAAGCTACCAGATTTTCATGAGCTTATCGAAAATCTGGAGGCTGACGAGTGCAAGATACGATGCCTAAATAATTGTTCTTGTCAGGCTTATGCGCAAGTTAATAATATAGGGTGTTTGGTCTGGTCCAGTGACCTTATTGATATACAAGAGTTTACATTTGGAGGGAACGATCTTTATATTCGCCTAGCACACGGAGAATTAGGTAAACAAATGAGAATTATTTCCTGCAGTATTATTAGAAGTATCTTTTATTTTCGGTCTCATTCTTTGCTCATTGCAATTCATAAATTCATTTTTTCAGATGAAGGAAAGCCTGTAAAGCTAATTGCTAGCGTCACTGCTGTTGGTTTTATCAGTATCTTGAGTGCCATAGCTTTCGGTGTTCAGAGACTGCGCGGTAAAAAAACAGGTAAGAGAATAACATAGAGTGATAGCAGCTGATGCATTATTCAAATTAGTATACAACTTCCATGCATAACTTCATAAGAACATATTTACTGATTGATATCCATTACTTGATAACCTTGTTGTGATGAAGTTGTTGTGATTGTTATATTTTCGAAACAGGGAACACGAAAGAAAAAACAAAGTTAATGCAGTTGAATCATACAAGTGATAATTCAAGGGACAATCTTCAAGAATACATAAGAAAACATGATCCATCGGAGCTATTCATCTACGATTTTGACAGCATATTAAATGCCACAAACAATTTCAGCACCATGAACAAACTCGGGGAAGGAGGTTTCGGCCCTGTTTACAAGGTAACTATTTATTTATTTATTTCAATTCCAAAAGGAAAATATGGTGTTTTCAACACCGGCTAGAAGCCTAAAACTACAAGACACAGATATAAATCGAATGTTTAATTTCTAGGGTAAGCTACAAGAAGGAAAGGAAATAGCAGTAAAACGACTATCTAGTAGCTCGGGGCAAGGCATAGAGGAGTTCAAGAATGAGATGCTGTTGATCTCCAAACTCCAACACAAGAATCTTGTTAGGATCATGGGCTGCTGCGTCAAGGACGATGAAAAGTTACTGATTTATGAGTTCATGCCTAACAGAAGCTTGGATACTCTTCTATTCGGTTAGTTTCACTGCCACTTTTTATGTTTGGATGAAATTTCTCTTTGTTACATGTTGTTCTTTTGTTACCATAATTGGCAATTCTTTAGCTCTTTGTAATCCCCCACTACTTATGATTTTGTTACTAATATTGGTTGCACTTTTTATGGATATTTTTATTAGATCCAAAGCGCAAAGCAGAGCTTGATTGGGCTAGACGCTTCAATATTATTCAGGGAGTTGCTAGAGGGCTTCTTTATCTCCACCACGATTCCCGTTTGAAGGTAATCCATAGAGATTTGAAGGTTAGTAACATTCTCTTGGATGAGAATATGAACCCAAAAATTTCAGATTTTGGATTGGCACGAATCGTTGAAGCAACACAGAGTCTAGCAAATACTCACAAGGTTGTGGGAACACTGTAAGCACATTATTTTCATATTATTGGCACTTTTATTAAGACCAGAAACAGAGAAGTCATTTTTTTTCAGTTATTAATACAAGTGAATTGCTTGTGCAGTGGCTATATGTCTCCCGAATACGCCATGGGTGGGATATTTTCTGAAAAATCTGATGTCTATAGCTTTGGTGTCTTGCTATTGGAGATTATCGCCGGCAAAAAGAATACTAGCTTCTATTACAACGAAGAACAGCACGGATTTTTAGCTTATGTAAGCTAATCACTCAAAATCTTCACGTGGATTTGTGTTTTTTAAGATGCTAAATATAGCAGATTCTAACAATTGTAGGCAACATTCATAATATGAATTTTGTCAGGTTTGGCACTTATGGAATGAAGGCAGGGGACTGGACTTGCTGGATGAAGTATTGGCGGATTCATATTCGTCATCAGAAGTAACAAGATGCATGCATATCGGACTTCTCTGCGTACAGGACAAGTCTGAAGATAGGCCAATCATGCCGGACGTAGTTTTCACACTAAGTAGTGAGACGAATCTTCCACTACCTAAGCAGCCTATATTTTCTAATTTCCGAAACGCAGTCTATAATCCTCAACCTCAATATGACAATATTTTCTCTGCAAATGAAGAAACTATAACCATTATCGAAGGTCGGTAAGCAATGGATTTTGGTGATTGAAAGTGTAAAGACAAGTAAGGTTACTGCACGTGTAAAATTTCTGCATCTTGTACACCGCAAATCTGCTATTTAATTAGTACAGTGGTAGACTGAGTTGAAAGATGATCGAAACATTTTAAGGAATTCTTCTTCTGAACCTTATATATTTTCCACTATAAATACGAACGGATCATGCGTGTGGAAATCACACTTGCATGGCAATGGCAAGCATGATATGAATCGACAAAAAAAGAGATGACACTGCCCGCAATGCGGATTTCCTTCGACTTGTTTCTGTAACGATTTTGATCAAGGCCGATGCTTGTCTCGGCTAGTAAAATAAAATTGTCAAGATGTAAAATTTGAAACTACCAAAAAAAAAAATTACGAACAAAAGCACTTTAATTCTTAGAAAACAACATTTAAACAGCAGTACAAACACACTGTAGCACCGGTAATGATCTACTTAATGTATCTTGTCCCGGTGACGATCATATTTAACCTATATATGTATGTGTGTGTGTGTGTGTGTGTGTCTGTGTGATATTTCGGTCCTGCAGGAGATCCAATTGCTCTCAGTTCGCCACGTGAGCGAGAAACTAGAGGTAGCATTCTCATAATGAACGTTAGGTGTGTCCAGAAGGAGCCAAAATCTATATCAAAGTCTTCTGCATGACTTTGACTGCATTAATTGAATTTTAGCCCAAAACAGTATTTCAATGTTTGATCGTATTGCTTTTCAGGGAATTTTTAATCATTCAGATGCAAATTAGAACCGAAAGTAGTGTTAGTACGATGAATTCCTCCATGTTCTTCCTATTCTTCTTCAGCTTGCTTCTTCTGTCACGGCACCATTGTGCCGAAGTTTACGAGATAAGTCCTGCGCAACCATTATCAGAGGGACAAACTCTTGTCTCCCCCCGCCATGTTTTCGAATTGGGATTCTTCAGTCCTAATAATAATTCCGGTAATAAGAAGTATGTGGGGATATGGCACAAGAGTATTTTTCCTCGAAAAGTTGTATGGGTGGCCAACAGAGAAAAGCCGATTGCAGCTTCAGACACCTTGGCTAGTTTGAGAATAAGCAGCATGGGGAATCTGGAGCTTGTAGATGGAAAACAGAATCCTCTTTGGTCAACGAATATTTCGGTGCTATCTAATGGTTCAGCTGCATCTCTTTTAGACACCGGAAACTTTGTCGTAAAAGATGATGATGTCGGAGCTGAACCGTTGTGGCAGAGTTTTGATTATCCTAGTGACACACTTCTACCAAGTATGCTGCTGGGGTTCAATAGCAAATCTGGAGAGACGAATTTCCTGACTTCCTGGAAAAGTGAGAGTGATCCATCGACGGGGATGTTCATGGTTGGATTGACACCAGAGGTGCCATCACAGATTGTAATTTGGATTAATGGATCAACTCCCTACTGGAGAACCGGGCCATGGGATAAATCAAAGTTCATCGGGCTACCAGGTACAAATGATGCATATACAAGTGGATTCAGATTAGATGATAATGCAGAGGAAGGAACAAAGTATTATTCTTATAGTTCTTATAATTACGGGGACGTTTTGGCGTACTCAGACATCTCTTCAGACGGTACACTTAAGTTTATGAATTCGGAACGTGGAGAGTACTGGATTCTTGACTTTTTAGCACAAAATAACTCATGTGATAAGTATGCAGCATGCGGACCTTTCGGGGTTTGCAAACGTTCTGAATCTCCAACAACTCCAATATGCAAGTGTTTGAAAGGGTTTGTACCAAAGTCACACGAGGAATGGAGCAAAGGAAACAGGACAGGAGGGTGTGTGAGGCAAACCAAATTGTTTTGTGAGACTAATACAAGTCAGTCAGTCGCTTCGAGAAGAAATGAAGACGGGTTTTTGAAGATGACGCAGTTAAAAGTACCAGATTTTCATGAATATATCAAGTTTTCAGATGCACAGAAGTGCAGGACACAGTGCCTAAAAAATTGTTCTTGCCTGGCTTATGCACATGTTGATAACATAGGATGTTTGGTCTGGTCCAAAGGCCTTCTTGATATACAGGAATTTGTCTATGGTGGAGAAGATCTTTTTATTCGCCTGGACCGCTCAGAACTCGGTAAATAATAACATTGCTTGTACAGCTCCAATTAGCTAGCTATATGTTTTACACAACTTTTCTGTTACAAATACAATTTTTTCAGGTGAAGGAAAGCCAATAAAGTTAATTGCCAGCCTCGCAGCAATTTGTTTGATTAGCATCTTGGGTGCCCTAGGGTTCGGTTTCCACAGGTTGCAAGCTAATAATAAAAAGGGTAAGAGAATGAGATGGATGTGATTGATATGAGCAAACTAGCAAAAAAATGCTTGGTTTGATCTGAATTATTTGTTAGTCCGCTGATCTGACTCGGTTTTTGATTCTTATGATTTCCATATCAGGAAACGCCAGATTAACTGATACAATTGAGAACGGAAGAGACACTCTTCAAGAATACATTGGAAAGCATGATCCATCAGAGCTGGTCATCTATAATTTCGATAGCATTTTAATCGCAACGAACAATTTCAGTATCACAAACAAACTCGGGGAAGGAGGATTTGGCCCTGTTTACAAGGTGATTGCGCATTCTGTTTTTTCTCTAGCTATAGTATATTATCACAACAGCTACAAGCCTACAAGTATACAACTGCAAGATACAGATATGAATCTAATGATTAATTTTTCGCCGGGCTCGTGTAGGGTAAGCTGCAAGAAGGGAAGGAAATAGCGGTAAAAAGACTATCTAGTAGCTCAGGGCAGGGCATGGAAGAGTCAAGAATGAAGTGTTGTTGATCTCCAAACTCCAACATAAAAATCTTGTTAGGATCTTGGGTTGCTGTGTTAAAGATGACGAGAAGTTACTGATTTATGAGTTCATGCCAAACAGAAGCTTGGATACTCTTCTATTCAGTTAGTTTCTTTCACTGGCACTCTTTATGTCTTGCTACAATTTCTTTTCGTTAGCTGTCGCGTTCTTTAACTAAGGTGTTAGTAATCTCTGTTCTATTTGTTTTAAATTGTACATTTTTAATGGGTATTGTGATTAGATCCAACACAGAGAGCAGTGCTTGATTGGGGTAGACGCTTCAATATTATTCAGGGTGTCGCTAGAGGGCTTCTTTATCTCCATCATGATTCCTGTTTGAGAGTAATACATAGAGATTTGAAAGTTAGTAACATTCTCTTGGATGAGAAAATGAACCCAAAAATTTCAGATTTTGGATTGTCACGAATCGTTGAAGCGGCACAAAGTCTAGCAAATACTCACAAGATTGTGGGAACACTGTAAGCATCTTTTCTTTTCCTATTCTTGGAAGAACATTTTTCTTAAGACAGTACACAAAGAAGCAATAGTATAGCTAAATACTAATTCATGAATTGTTTGTCAGTGGTTATATGTCTCCGGAGTATGCTATGGGTGGAATATTTTCTGAAAAATCTGATGTCTATAGCTTCGGCGTCTTGTTATTGGAGATTATTAGGGGCAGGAAGAGTACTGGCTTCTATCACAACGAAGAACAGCTAGGCTTCCTATCTTATGTAAGCACACATTCTAAATCTAATAAATTTTGAAGTTATGAGCCGATCAGTTTAGCAATTGTAGCCAATATATATGAATTTTGTCAGGCATGGCACTTATGGAATGAAGGCAGGGGATTCGAATTTGTAGATGAAGTGTTGGCCGAATCTTTTTCCTTATCAGAAGCAACGAGATGCATGCATATCGGGCTTCTTTGTGTGCAGGACAAGGCTGCAGATAGGCCTACCATGCTGGATGTAGTTTTCGCGCTAAGTAGTGAGAAGGATCTTCCACCACCTAAGCAGCATATATTTACAAATTTCGAAAACTCATCAGTCTATGATCCTCACCCACATTACGACAACATTTTCTCTGTGGATAACGCTACCATAACACTGATTGCAGGACGATAAGCAATCCCATACCGTCGCATCACAATGCAGCGAATTTCGACCATTATTTTGAAAAGTTCTTACACCTACAAGTTAGGGTTAGTTTGGTATTGTTGTGCTTTAAAAAAAAATACTTGCAGTAATGTGTTTGGTAAACTATAGTTGTAAAAGTACTTTTGGCAAAAAAATGCAATGTTACAATGTTTAGTAAATCTTTATGTAAAACAGTTGTGACTACGTAAAATGATCAAAAAGGACATAGTAGTACATGTGCTTTTAATTTAATTGCTTGACAAACAATGGTGTATTATTAACTATACTTTGTTGTTTGTAAAATATTTATATCTTAATTTAAATCTATTCTAAATTCTAATTAGTACACAAATTACTTTAAAATGTTAAAATCTTTTAAACTGAATAGTAAGAATGATCAAAAGATTTTCAATACTAATTACTTTAGTCTAAAGTAGGGGGGGAGAGATTAATGTTTACTTTTTCTCTCCTTCTGTGAAAGGTTTCCCTATTTCTGGTGAGGGTTTCCAGTTTGACCACACTCTCCAACGCCAACTCTAGTTTCGGCTAGAGTCGGTTGCCCTTTTTCCCTCATTCTCTCCTCTTTTCTTCCGCTTCTCCTGATGTTCTTTGTCATGTCCCGATCCCAACATACGTCGAGAATCGATACGTAACAAGGAAAATAACGTTCGTTGAATACGGTATAAGTTACGAAATGAAATACTTTAACTGATACACCAAAATAATATGAAGGTGGCTAAGTTCTCCATAAGATTTTTACAAATATCCACATCCCAAAAAGAAGCATAATCTTTGCTTTACTAAGAACAAGTTTGAAGTGTTCAAAAGAAAGTCCCAAGAGATAAAGTACAAGAGAGAATCAAGGGTAACCTAATGCTCTACGTCTCTGATAACCGCCCTGCTACCCCCACCTATGGACTTCTCGGAGTCTACTCAAACCTGTCACATGTATGATCAGTGCCTACACCATCGAAATGGTGCATTGGGCAAACATCAACACGGATAAACTGCAAAGCTCATGTGAGTGACAATAATATAAAGTATGTGACACAATAATAAAAACCAACAATCAATCACAATTTATAAACCTTGAATATCAATCATGCGTGAGAAATCAATACCAAACCTTTGAAAACTTCGAAGGAGTTACCTAGACATTCAACGATTCATCTAAAACAATCACAACATCTCACGACCATATTCTCATACAACACAATGAAAAGTAAGGTTAAAGCGACATAGTTCGGCCGAAGCCTACACCTGTGAAGCTATCTCAATCCAAATTCAATGAAACCCAAGATGGATACGATACTGGACCGTCACTCAACAAAATCGCAGAGTAGGGGGGATTCCGAACCATCTCTCAACGGAATCCAAGTGAATACGATTCCGGACCATCATTCAACGGAATCGCAGAGTAGTCGGAGGGATTCCGGACCATCTCTCAACAGAATCCTAGTGGATACGATTCCGGACCATCACTCAACGGAATCGTGGAAGGCCAACAACCATAATGTATAACGGCTCAAAGAAATAAGACAAGCACAAGTTACTTAATTTACCAAAGCTCAATCAAGGGAAATAAGGCACAAATACTAAATTTAGAATGGATCAACTAAGCGGAAAATGAAACAATATCGAAGCAATAAATCCCCATCACAATGGGTTAACGGCCCACCACTAGCCTTCACATTTCATCACATCATGTCAATCAAACAAATCAAACCATATTTCAATATACATACGTCAAATCTCATTTCATAACTTGAATCAATGGCTAAGCATTAAAAATAACAATTCAATAGAAAACATATATATATATATATATATATATATATATATATAACCAAGTCATATCCACATAGGATAACAATTACGAAAACAAGGTAACCATCAATATCACATATGTTAAAGTCACTCACATGGAGTCCGCGCTATGCACCCTAGCACAAGAGTCAAGGCATCATGTTCTATCACCACCTAAACAAGGTACAAGTCCACATTTAGATTTCCTTCGATAATTCACATACTTAAAAACTCTCATATGTCTCCCACAACAACATTTAATGAGGAATCGAATCGTCCTTCTAAGGTAGGATCCATGATCTTACGTCACTTATTCCGTAAGATCCAATCACTAGATTTTCACTTGTAAGTCCCTAAGATCCTTAAACCATATCTACCATAGCATACTAAAATTGGTGTCAATACAATGGTAAGATCGTCAATTGTTAGAATAATCAAGTGGTGGACCTTATCGATAATATACTCAACCAACAACATTTTCATAAATCGAATTTCACACATCGGGAAATTCGACTTTTTCCAAAAATTCTCAAATTTTATAAGAATGAAGATCTCAACAGGTAGAGTAAACTTTATACCTGTGGCCGAGTCCAATTTGGTCGGGAAGGCCCTCAAATTGGCTCGCACCCGTCGAAACCCTAAGGTGGGTGTTATTCAATTCGGCTTCCTTGGTGTTCCAACGCCTCAACCACCAGTTGGGTCTTGTTCTTAGGTCCAAGGGAAGTTGATCAAGGGTGATGGTGAATGGTGATACTCTTCGGAACGACACTTCATCATCGAGAGTCCCTGAGTTCTCTTGTGGTGTTCTACCCGAATTAGGCCTTAAAACTCTTGATGTTTTTTGGTGGAGATGGAAGATGGAAGGTGGTGGAAGATGTGGCAGGTGTGGGATGGTTGTAGATTACCTGAAAATATGGTGGAAAATGGCTGAGTTTGGACCAGCTGAAGATGTAGTATTATGGTGCACAGTTAGCCGAATGGAAGGAAAAAGAAATCCCCCCCCCTTTTATCTTTTCCATCTAATCTTTTTTTTGCCCATTTCCACTTATAATAGCCGGTCCTTTCGTCCCAAAAAGTGTTTGGGCCTTTTACCCATAAGTGGAAATTAAAATAATTCTCACAATCTATAGTTTCACAGCTTCAAATGTCCATAACTATACCGTTATAATTTGGACTTGCAAATGACTTTCGCCTATGCGTTCGTGGGTTTTAGATCTATTGAAAAACACTAGTTGTAACTTCGAAATGTCAACGAAAGATAAAGATTGATTATGAAACTTCCAACTCGATAACTAATCAATTACTAAATTTAAAATTAACTAATAAAGATAACGTAATTGCGAAATACGAATTTAAAATACGAGATATGTAATGAATAGTAAAATCTCGGGGACGAGATTTCACATTCTTCCTCAATTTTCCGTTTGGCCTGCCCTGTTCTCCTTTCCCAATCGGTATCCCTCCCCCATCTCTCCCTCAGTCCGATCTTCATCCACTATTTTCTTTCCTATTGAGTTCGTGTGTAGAGCTAGGACGGTTTCCCTAGCTTGGGTGTTTCCAACACCACCTCATACTCCTTGCCGTCTGTTGTTTTGACAGTGTTGCTCTTGGGTTTCCCCGAGCTTCTTCGTGGTAGTTGGCTAATCCCTCTTTGGTGCCAACTACCTCTTGTTCTTGGCTAGTATATAGGTACTGTTTGGGTTTGGCGATGGTGTCTGCGGCGGCACTGCTCGGTGGCAAAGGATGTTTTAGTTAGCTGGCCTCGCTCTCTGTTGATGGAGGAGCTTTTTGTAGAAGTTTCTAGGCTGTTGTGGACTGTTGTGTGTTTTTGAGCTATTGTGCTGTTTGACCCTTGTTCTGTTTTTTATTTTGGTTTGGGCCGTTTTCTGTTTTTGTATAGTTGTAAGTTGGGCCTGTGTTTTGCTTGTACTTTTGTGTTTGTTGTTGAATAAAGTTGAAGGGGTTTGTCTGTAGCTTTGCTGCAGTCAAATTTTTTCCCATAAAATAAGGTAGGGGGAAGAGTGGCACTGTGCAATTTTGAGTGAATTTCAGTTTATTTACAAAATTGCCACCGGGCTGATTTTAGCCCAAAATTTGCTTTATTTACAAGATTGCCACTGGACTTAAAGAACGGTTTTTCAGTGTTTGGGCTGGATCTAGACCTTGAGTCCGGGAGAGAGGGAAGGGGGACAGAAGGGTTGACGGGTTGGAGGGGAGAGGTTTGCCGGGATTTAGGGTAGAGGGGAGAGGATTTTCGGCAAGGGGGTATGGGCTGGATCTAGACCTTCGAAACAGTCAGTAAGTCCCTCTCTCTCTCTCTCTCTCTCAGTTCAATCAATTCAATTACACGATCAGTATACTTATAAATTCTGAGCTGATATACATATACTCTTAAATTCTTGATTTAATATCAAATTTTCTTTTGAAAAACGATTTCTTCTTTTGTTTGGCGATGAATTCTAATAAATTTTCTGTATTTTGGGTAGGTTTATAATCCCATTTAGCAGAGTCATGTCGCTTCCAAATGAAGAAATAAGTCCTCTTCTTCTGATGCTCAGGTATTTCCCCGTTTACATTCAAAGCAACACCCGTTCGTTTCTTTTTGCATTTGGGTTTTTTCGGTTTTTGTTTTTTTTTTCCTTTGTTTTGTATTTCTAATTTGTCGTTTGCTATGGTTATTGCAGAAAGTTGTTGAACTATGGTTATTGCAGAAAGCAGTGTAAATGACAAGTTGTTGAACTATGGTTATTGCAGAAAGTGGACATTTATGAGTGGCAATGATTGACATCGAAATTGTATGATAGTAACTTAATCATACTTAAATTAAGCCTGTTAGACAAAATGAAAATTAATGTTGGTTTTGAGTTGCTCTGAAGAATCCTTGAAATGAGTGAAACCAAAAAGACAACTATGAATATAGTAATCAGGCCTCGCGTTAATACTTCTCTAAAGGCTAACTTGATTATGTTCATGAGGATTCTGTATTCTTTTGTGGTACATTGATTTTAATGTCATCAACTAAAAAGAAATAAATTTCCCTTTTTCCACTTGATTGATAGGTTAGTTTTTTGTTCAGGCTTGCAAGTTGAAATTAGGAGACCTAGAAGGAGCATTGTTGGACACAGACTTTGCATTGCGTGATTGGGAAGATAATGTGAAGGCTTTGTTTCGCCAATGCCGGGTTAATTGGCAAGAATTCATAAAGCCTTCTGGTTGCTGTTTATTACATTTTTAATTAAAGTAGTTGTCTTTTTTTTTTTGCACAGGATAGAAATGAACTCAAATGTGGGTAAGAACTGTGAATCTCTAATCCTCTGCCTCTGATATAAACAGGCATCCTGCATCTTTTTGCAGTTTTTCACCAAATAAACAGATTATAAGCAACTTTTTTTCCAATTTTTTCTTGCTTTTAATGATCCTGAGGTTTGTAGATTGAAGGCTTAAGAGTATTGCTCTTTTGTAACATATAAAATTAAGGGACACTTTGGATGCGGTCCCTAGCTATCAATATTCTTTGATTGAAACCTTGTTAGTTTTTAGTTTTTTATTGAGGTCCCTGATATTAATATAATAATGTAAGTTACTATATTTTTTTAATTAAAAATTAAAAATTGAAATTTGTAATTGTTTATATTAATGAGATTTTAAATAAAACCCATAATTTATGGGATTAAAAATAATAAAATATAAATTATATACTCTATTATATTGTGTGTGTGTGTGTGTGTGTATATATATATACACATATATGTATGGATACATTAACCAAAATTAACAAAAAAAGTTATTGTACCAAAACATGGATACATTCTCACATCAACGAAAAAGAATGTACCCATATAAGTTTAAACATGGATTAAAAATTTTGAATGGATTTTATATTAAAAAAGGGTACATTTTACATATAACAAATTGATATATTTGAGAATGGGTACATTTAAGATTAAAAAAATTGAAAAATTATATGAATGGGTACATTTAAGATTAAAAAATTGAGAATCCTTTTATATATATAAAAAAAAACAAATAGGTACAAACTTAATTTAATTTGATTTTTTATTATTTTGGAAATGTTTGAATTGAAAAAGAATTAGAAGTTTAATAGAGGTGTGAGTATTAAACCCTAAATTAATTACTAATTTTTATATTAAAAAATTATATAATAAACATGTAAATTCATTATCACATTAATGCTAGGGACTTGAATCAAAATTTGAGAACTAATAAGGTCTTAGTCAATGAACAGTAAAAACAAGGGACCGGATACTAATTTTTCCTAAAATTAATAAGTCGTAAGAGTATTGCTATTTCGTAACATATAAAATTACTAAGTATTGTTACATTTTCCCTTCTATTTTTTTTTTCATCAATTTGCTTCTGATTCATGTTTTAACACATGTTGAATAATTTCCAAATTAATGATTGGTTCTTGCAGCCGCGTGAAGAGATTGACTATTCAAGCTTTGCGAGTTAATTCAAGGGCCTTAATCACTATGTAAGGTTTCCATTTCTAATGCTTATTACTTCCGCCTTTCCCCTTATTAAGAAAATTTTACTAATTGCAATTATTAAATGTTATTAAGGTGAGAAAGGGATCCTCGATCTGAAATGAGCTTTTTATGTAAGCAATTTATCCATTCATTCACCTCAAATTCTTTTTCTTCATAGATTGTTCTGGTACCTGCTCTCTCATTTATTTTTTCATAGGCACAACTCTTTAATTCTTCTGCTTCTTCATCATACTTTGAACGTCATTCCGTTTTCAGCTTTGAATTCTGGATGACAAGCTCTACGCAAGAAGGTAAGCTATTTTAGATTTTTGTCCATATTTGGAATATCCCCACTTTTGGAATTTTAGGGATTTGATTCATTTTTGTGTTGCATGTTTAACGTTGGTCTGGGTGATGATCATTTGAGGATGTACGAACTTGATTGGTTGTCAGTATACTTGAATGTGGCCAAATTTGGGTAAGAACCGTAAGACTCCAATCCTAATTTTGTCCTCTTTTGAATTTAAGAGCGAAAATTGGTGTATTTATACCCTTTTTGTTGTGAATCATGCAAATTAAGTGTCTTTAGAGGTATTATGGGTATTTTCTCGGAATTAGGGTTTAGGGTTGATGAATTTTTTGTTATGAAACTTGATTGTGCCTTCTTTTCAGTCGTTGCTGTAATTTTTTTTCTTATCTCAAATAAAAATTGTATTTGCTTATTTTGTTTTTCAAGTTCAAACGAAAACATAAGTTTTGTCAGTGTTAATCCAACTGGGTCGTTAATTGACACAGTGGCCTATTACAGAATGGCCACAAAGGTAATGATGTGACTCAATGACAAGCTATTAGTTGATAGGCCAATTTGGAAGTGTATTTGCTTAAAAGGATATTAATCATACACAGAAATATAGATTGTATGTTTTATACCGCATTGTATCTACATTACAGTATTATACATAGTTGCTGGATTCGGTGAAATGGTGTCCGAATCCTGTATCGGTACGTACGTCCCAGCAGGGACGGAGCCAAAAATTTCTTCTAGTGGGGGCAACTGAAAACAACTAAGAAAACCTTATTATAGTATGGTTGTACGCAATATGATATGAAGGATGGTTTCAAATGACGATTTATCACAATTCTAATGTTACAAAAATTTCAATATAGTAGTGGAAAGTGGCAAAGTGATGCGAAAAATATAAGTACATGATAGGCGGGAGAGGGTTTTTTTGGTTTGAATGACAGAACAAGAGCACTATTGTTCATATAATATTTGATATAGAGTATAAGTAGAATGAATGTATGTTAGATATTAGATACATATATTTTCTTTAAAGATAACCCGTTTATATTATATAATTGTAGTCTGCAACTAAACAAACGAATTACTTGAGTGGGGGCATCTGTCCCCAGTAAGACTTCATTGGTTCCGTCCATGCGTATCAGTACTTTTTGGATTCGGTGGTTCATCCAATAATCTCTAATAATTTTTAATCAGAATACAGAAAAAACACCTATAATTTTTGGGAAGAGAGGATGGAAACAACTGGAATTTTGGGAAGTTCTGTGCTTCTGGTTTTCATCAGGTAAAGGGCAGCCGAAGGAGAGGAAGAGAGAAAATGTTTAGTTTAATTGTAATCTTTTACTTTTTTTATTGTGCTAGTTGGGAGACCCATCTGGAGTGTTGATTTTTTTGAGAAGTAAAGAGTGGGAGGCTGATAGCATTTCCCAAGTTCCATATTAATTTAATATTTATATTATTTTGATTAGACAATTACGTGAATTAATTGTTTTTTATTTGTAAATAAATAGTTGCTTACAGAATAATCAATTTAAACAAAAATAATTGTTTACAATAACTATAAATATTATTGTAAAATGTATATTATAAATATTTTTAATTTATATTTTTAACGAATTAAGAATGAATCGAGCTGAATATCGTACTGTCTATGTGTACTCTCTAACGAATGATACTTTAGGTTACCACCGAATTCCGTACCTAAACCGAATCACGAACTCGAACCGTATCCGTATCTGGTAACTATGGTATTATACACTGCAAGTCTATTTGTATAAAAGTCATTCAACTGGTGATTCAAGTAGTATATTGCTTCTTTTATTTTGTTTGTATATATTTTTGAACAGATAAATCTTTAGTTTAGTATATATGTTTTTCTCCAGTGATTTTTTTTATGATTCTGCATCTGTACAAAAAATAGTTGAGTCTTAGTTTGTCTGCTTCATGAGATGTTTCTACATAGTAATCTTTTGTACTCATTAATTTTTTTTTATGTTTGAGTTCATATGATGTGTTTTTAGGATCCTGAGGTTTTAAATAAAATAAAATATTTGACTTAAATTTTCTTGTATGGATATGGTTTGATCTTCACAGCTGATGTCATCAGCAGGCACACACAGAGAAGGAAGAGGTAGAAAAAAACCATTCAGATCTTTTCTTTATTGTGGGTGCAAAAATTAAGGGTCAATGCATCCTAAAAACTAGCGATTTCCCATGCATCCTAAAAACAAGGGAGTTGGGCTAAAATAAAGCAACATGAATCATCCACTACTAAAGAACATGGAGTGAGATAATGGGACTGGAAGTCCAAGCTTTTTATGCCTATAAAAGGCCTAGAATCCCATCAGAACAGGGGGGAAAGATGGAGAAAAGAGAGGTATAAGATCGTTCTATATTTTATAAGCATTCTGAACAAATACTGACTTGAGCGTCAGAGTGTTTTCTTGCAGGTCCCCTTCTCCCTCATTGATGGCGAGTGAAGATGGAGTTGAAGGCTTCTCAACATGGTTACAAGATTTACTTGTTGGAGGATTAAAGGAACCAAAATTTTCCGCTCCAACATTTACTGTTGAGTTAGGTTAGAGAACAGGCTTTTGTGGTTTCTAGAGTTGATTTTCTTTCTTTTATGCCAGACCGACTGACTTATTTGCTCTCTCTCTCTCTCTCTCTCAGTTCGAACCAGCTCTCGCCTTTTCACGTTTTTCTCACCGATTGCTCAAGACTTTCAACTCTCAAACATCTCAGATCACACACATGGAATAATGATGGATTTTTCTTAAGGTGATTTCATTGTTTCCTCTTTTGAAATTTGTCTCTGTTAGATTATTGTTTTTCAATTTAAATTTTACTCTTTTCCAACTTAGGGTGCTTCATTGAAGAAATGATAGAGATTTTTCTTGAAGTCATTTTGTTGTTTGTTTTCGTTTGGAGGATTGTTGTGATTCGGTTGGTACCATGTGTCAGTTGGTTGTTTTCTTTTTAGTGTTTTTCAATTTGTTCCTTTTATTCTGTGTGCACTTTTTTAATTTGTGGTTATGCATCAATTTCTCTGCTTCTTCTTTGTAAATCTTGCAGGTCAGGATGACACACCTATCGGGGCAATGTCGGGATGTTTAGGCTTGGGTGGAGACGTGGACTTATGGAAGAGGTGAAGTAGCTTAGCTCTTTGTCATTAGCTTTATCTGTTCTATGCATCTCTATAATCTTACAATGCTCTTTTATTAAATTGCAAGATGTTGGGACCGGTTACTGGAATACAAGATTTGGAACAAAGGTGGTTGACAATGCAAGAGTCGAAACCAAGTGTGAAATTCACATTGAAAATGACAGGTGAGAATGCTAATCATATTCTAAAAAAAATGTTGGGTTTCCTGATGAGTTCTCTGGCCGAATTCAGGAGCCTAATTTAATGATTTGGAGTTAATTTTGTAAATTTATTGAATGAAGTTATTTGTTATTTAGCTTATCTTGCGTTTGGTTTGGTTTGGTTTGGTTTGGTTTTAGGAGAGGGTTGCGCATGATCTGTAGGTTCAATCAAACTCTCTGTTTTCGTTAGAATCACTATTAAAGGTAAGTTTTTCTAACAAGATTTTTTCTTTCTTTTTGCTGCATGTTTGTGCATTTTGGTCTTACCATTGCAACACTCTGCGTTTCCTACCCAATGATTTTTTTAATAAAGATGTAGTTAAAGCAATTACATGCTCTATCAAGTATGTTTTATATGTAGTTGTGGTAGTTGCAAGGAAATGAAATATTTGTGCTGATAATTGGTAGTTTAAATATATAGAAATAGAGAATAATTATAAATGGAGCACCTAGGATTAACATTGTTTTCTTTTCCATGTAATTTTTCTCATGTTTAACATCTGCTTTTGTTTATGCATTTGATTCAAGTGCTATTTTTATTAGTGTTAATTTTGGGTTGCATATCCACAAACTAACCCAGTTAATTTTGCTTAGTGTTGATCTATCAGGAGAATTCTCATCGCATCAACTTGAACAAACATTCTTCTACTTAGTTGCTTACCTGCTGAAACAAGAACGAAACACTTTTTATGTTTTTTTTGTTTAACTGCTAAAACAGGTGGCTGACCTGCATGACATATATTTTACCATCTTAACTTCAAGGGCAATATATGTGTAAAATGCGTGTTGCTTCTATTTCTCAGGAAACAGAGCATTTTTTTTGCAACCACATTTTTTGTAATCAGCTAGGTTGAATGTATATAAAAGCTAAGCTGCTTATTTTACCGACACCGTTCACTCATCTATCCTTTTTGTTCGTTCATGATTATGTTGAATTTTTTTTCAAGTTAAATGTGTCTTATTCATGTAGTTAAAGCTGGCGCATTCAAGTCCCGCAGCAACGCGCGGACATGTTATTAGTTTTTTGCTATTTCAGCTAGCCAAATGACATAAACTCCTACAACTAGTCAATTTATCATAAGCATCTCCAACACTTACAATTATTTTAACAAATAAAATATTGAACTAGTTTATTATTTAAAATCCTCATCTTTTATGTTTTATTATCATAATTAAAATCAGCCCACCATCTTCCTAGAAGCACCTCTCAAACCCTCTTTCTCTCACGTGAGTTGTTAGGTTTGGACCGTTTGGTTAATAGACTAGTCGTAGCCTTAGTTTATCAGTACTGTACATTAATTTGTCAGATTGTTAAAATTGGTTTTAGTCAGAGTTCGTGTCGAAGCTTCTTTCATCGTATAAAACACAGATGTAAACTTATATCATTTATTGAATGAAAGTATCCAGTTTTATAATCTCAGCCGTTGAAATAAAATGTCAAACTGGAAATTTCTGTCACGTCTTATGCTGCTGAGATTCAATAGACGAATTTCTTGACTTCGGGGAAAAGCGAGTGATCTTTGTTGGATTGACACCAGAGGTGCCATCACAAGCTGTAGTTTGGATTAGTGGATCGAAAACTCCCTGCTGGCGAACCAGGCCGTATCTGATCCTCAACCGTAGTACGTTAATTTTCTCCCCAAATGAAGCTACCGGATAAAAATGATCGTAGGACGGTAGGAAATTCTTGCATCACAATGCAACGACTTTCCGGTCATTCCAAAATGTGATATATAATTTGTCTCTTTATTAAGATTGCGCCGAATCCGCTAGAACAAAGTGAGATTGGTTAAAATTGACGAACAAGGATCCTCTTTTGATCTTTTTTGTGGGGATTCGGAGAATCAATCAATCTTGTCTGTTTATTGATTGATTAGATCCTCTCCGGATCCTCAGTGAATTAGATACTATTTATATTTAATTTTAAATTTTAAATTTAAAATGATTTCTAACCGTACGATGTACGATAAACGGACACCATTGATTGATCCTCCGGATCCCCACAAAGAGGATCCGGAGAGGATCCTTGTCCAAAATTGACTATTCTACAATTTCTTTGTTCATTAGTTAGGTTGGGCAAAGTTCATTGTAAGCTGCTGGTTTTCGGGCAATTTCAGATGTGAGCTTATTATTAGTTACTGAACGAGAATACAGATTTTTTTTTAAATTTTTTTTTTTTGGAAAACCTCGGCGGGACGAGGTAAATTTATTGATAGGAAAAAAGAAGTTACACCTAGTTAGGAAAAACATAAACCTTACCCCTCATTGAATAAGAAAAACGAAATACAAAGAGGGTGGAGGACATACACTTTACCCCTTTTGAAAAAGAAAATACAGGATAAAAAAGGGACATAGAATTTTATAATCTCGGCTATTCAAGCAAAATTAATTTCAAACTATCTAAGAAGAATGAGCTTACGAAGATAAATAGCACCGGAAAACACTTGTTTAATGTAGATCGTTGATGTTGTATTCGTCAGATGCATCTCGCTAATTCACTGAAAAAACATCTTCTTAACGTTCTGATCCAATGCTATTGCACATTTAGTCAAATTGACTCTATGATATTAATAACTGATTTACTGGTCATATAAGCAAGATTTTTATAGGATTATCACATCTAGAAGTAGCCGAAGACTAATTCAAAGTTCTTTCTGCTGGTGATTATTTTTTTGCTGCTCAATCTCCTCCAAGGATTATCATCATTAATCAATTAATGGCCACATCATCAATACCTAGTGTAACATTAAAGGTAAACCCCAACCGGGGAGGGGACTTCGCCGCCTGGAAAGTCAATTCGTTGGCATTGGTACAATTTATTTCACAACAGACACAGTTTTTTTCTTCTGAATTTTAGAACCGAAAGTGCTTTTAGTGCTATGAATTCCTCCATGTTCTTCCTATTGTTCTTAAGCTTGCTTTTGACACAGCATTATTGTGCTGAGGTATATAACATAACTTCTTTGCAACCATTAGCGCAGGGACAAACTCTTTTCTCCCCCAGCCACATTTTCGAATTGGGTTTCTTCAGCCCCAACAATTCCGAAAATAAGTATGTGGGAATATGGCACAAGAATATGTTTCCTCGCAAAGTTGTGTGGGTTGCCAACAGAGAAAAGCCGCTTGCAGTTGCAGACGCCTTGGCTAGTTTAGCGATTAACAATGGGAAACTTGAGCTTGTAGATGGGAAACAGAAATCTATATGGTCAATCAATATTCCGGAGTCATCGTATAGCTCAGCTGCAGTTCTTTTAGACACTGGAAACCTCGTTGTTGCGGATGATAGAGGAGCTCAATTATGGAAGAGCTTTGATTATCCTGGTGACACATTTCTTCCTGGAATGTTGATGGGATTTGATAGTCAATCTGGAAAGCAGAATGTCTTGACTGCCTGGAAAAATTTGAACGATTCATCAAGAGGGTTATTCTTGGTTGAATTGGCACCACAGATCCCAGCTCAGATATTCGTTCGGATTAACGGATCAACTCCCTGCTGGAGAAGCGGTCCATGGGATAAATCAAAGTTCATAGGCATACCCGAAATGGATGATCAATATCTTAGTGGTCATATGGTGCTTGATTATGAGCAACAGGGAGCAGCGTCCTTTTTCTGCAGTAGTGCATATAACAAAAGTTTGGTATATATGGATATCTCTTCAAACGGTAGACTGAAGACTATGGTATCGGAACATGGTGAGAACTGGCGTATTAACTGGGAGGCCCAAAGGACTCCATGCGACTATTATGGAACATGTGGACCTTTTGGGGTTTGCAAAGTTACTGATTCTCTAACAACTCCAATCTGCAAGTGTTTGAAAGGGTTCGTACCCAAGTCACTTGAGGAATGGAGTAAGGGAAACACGACAGGAGGGTGCGTGAGGAAAGCCAAATTGTTTTGTGAGAGTAACACAAGTCAGCCAGTTGCTTCAGGAGGAAAAGAAGACGGGTTTCTAAAAATAGAAAGCGTAAACCCACCAGATTTTCATGAGTATATTTTGAATATGGATTTTCAAGGCTGCAGGACTCAGTGCCAAAATAATTGTTCTTGCCTGGCTTATGCATTTGTTACCAATATAGGTTGTTTAATCTGGTCCCAGGACCTTTTAGATATTCAGCAGTTTTCCACTGGCGGAGTGGATCTCTTTATTCGCCTAGCTGATGCCGAATTTGGTAAGTGATGGTATCCACTTGCACAACTCTATTAAGCAATATACCTTCTTTTCTATCTTGAATAAACAGTAATACAAATTCATTTTTTTCAGGCGAAGGAAAGCGAACAAAGTTAATTGTCAGCCTTACATCTATATGTTTTATCAGTATTGCTGCAGTAGTGTTCGGTTTGCACAGGTTACGCGCTAAACAAAAGGGTAAGATAATGAAATAGAGGCATGTAATCAATGTATTAACACGATCTCTGTATTAACCAAATCAGTATAACTTCGTTGTTGTTTCTCTGAATCTGAATTTGGTTGTTATATTTGCAAAATCAGGAAACATCAAAGTAACAACAATGCGCAGTGAATTGAATGACATGACTAAGAATTCAAGGGACACTATCGAAGAACTTATAAGAAAACATGATCCATCAGAGCTTATAATCTATGATCTTGATAGCATATTAATTGCTACGAGCAATTTCAGCATCAACAACAAACTTGGGGGAGGAGGATTTGGCCCCGTTTACAAGGTGATTATTTTGATTATTTTGCTATTTCTAAAGGGAAATGTAGTATCATGACACTGGCCACAAGCCTACCACCGCGAGATACAGGCATGAATTCAGTGGTTAACTTTTCGTTCTTTTTAGGGAAAGCTACAAGAAGGGAAGGAAATAGCAGTAAAAAGACTGTCTAGTAGCTCGGGGCAAGGCATAGAAGAGTTCAAGAATGAAGTGATGTTGATCTCTAAACTCCAACATAAAAATCTTGTTAGGATCATGGGTTGCTGCATTAAAGATGACGAGAAGTTATTGATCTATGAGTTCATGCCAAACAGAAGCTTGGATACTCTTCTATTCGGTTAGTTTTCTTTCACCAGCCCTCTTTATGTCTTGCTACAATTTCTCCTTGTTACCTATCTTTCAATATCATCTGTTGGTTTCAGTGTCTAGACCTCAAAATCGACTTTAATGTAATATATCAGACCAATCTATACACTGTACTTATGGATGACATTATTGATTACATTTCCAATATGTGCACCGATCAGATCCAATGAGAAGAGGAGTGCTTGATTGGGCTAAACGCTTCAATATTATTCAAGGTGTCGCTAGAGGACTTCTTTATCTCCATCATGATTCCTGTTTGAAGGTAATACATAGAGATTTGAAGGTCAGTAATATTCTCTTGGATGAGAATATGAACCCGAAAATTTCAGATTTTGGACTGGCACGCATTGTTCAAGGGACGCATAATTTAGAAAACACTCAGAAGGTGGTGGGAACTCTGTAAGCATCATTTCTTCCTATTCTCATAATCGTTGTTCACCAACTAATGTTTAACACATAAATAGCACATAATTGTCAGTTAAGTAGTACTGAATTTGCCTGTGCAGTGGCTATATGTCTCCGGAGTATGCCATGAGAGGGATATTTTCTGAAAAATCCGATGTCTATAGCTTTGGGGTCTTGCTATTGGAGATTATTGCCGGCAGAAAGAATACCAGCTCCTTTTACAAGGAACAAGAGCTAGGTATCCTAGCTTATGTAAGTTCCTCTACGAAAACTCATTACAGCAGTTCAGTCTAGCAATTGTAGCCAACATATATAACTTTTTTCAGGCATGGAACTTATGGAATGAAGGCAAGGGATTGGACTTTGTAGATGAAGTATTGGCAGATTCATATTCGGCATCAGAAGTGATGAGATGCATGCATATCGGGCTTCTTTGCGTGCAAAACAATGCTGCAGATAGGCCAACAATTGCAGATGTGGTTTTCATGCTAAGGAGCGAGACAGATTGTGCGCAGCCTAAGCAGCCTACATTCACCTTCCAAAACTCTCTATCTGATCTTCAACCACACCATAACCATGTTTGGTCTGCAAATGAAGCCACCATATCACTTCTCGAAGGACGATAGTAAAAGAATACGTGTTAAAAGAGAACATCCCCAGCTCATTGAAGTCCCTACTCAAATTTACAAGTCAAAAGTCAGAGCGCTGCACTATCTAGAATATCTAAATAAATCTCTTAAGATTGTTGTCATGGAATGTTAGTGAAAAATCTAGAAACAAACCACACGTGGTTGGGCAAAGGAATAATTTTTGCTACAATCACCCTGCAAAGTGTTGATTTCATGATGCTTCAACCACCCTAATTTCATTACCATTAGATGTAATTTAAATTTTTAAAAGCAATTCTATTGTTGGATTTAGTATAGATGCACAAATAAAAAATTTCATTTAAAATTTAAATAGCATTTCTTCATTTCTCAGTGATAAATAGGACTGTTGAGAATCCACCGGTCCATTGTATCGAAGTGGGTGCTATTCCTGGAAGCAAATTTATAATTATTCGAGTAGTGCTCAATAAGGAATCCGAAACTACTCCGCCTTAATGCTTTGAATTTTCTTCATTTTCTTTCACTAAGAATTGCGTCTTCAGCCTGATTCTTCTGTTCGCTGGACACCGAATATGGCACGTCCCGCAAAAGTTGAAGCAGTTTGCATTGGCTAGTGTTGAACAAAATATATATATATATATATATATATATATATAAAATAAAAAAATATAAAAAAAATATAAAAGAAGTTTGCATCAAACAAACTTCTCAAAAGAAAAGTATTGCCCACGTGAAGTTTTGTTTAGACTTGGAAATCCAAGTCGACAGAGAGAAGAAACAGGAACCAAAAATAAAAGAAAAGAAGATACGTATTTCTTCCTACAAAAGGGGGAAGTAACGGGGAGCAAGATTTCCTATTTTTCTAAACAAGACGTGGAAGGTTACACAGTTAGTGGGAGAGGTTAAGAGAAAGTGGCGAAAGAGAAGGCCTCTATCTTCCCCACGTAAAAGCTCTAGAGACTCCCTATGATGCCTATAAATAGGCATCAGTCGCAACAAAGAAAAAAAAAAAGGGAAACAAGAGAGGAGACGCGGCAGAAATTGAAAAGCACAGAGAAGACAACAGAAAGGCAAAGCAAGAGAGCAAAGGCACAACAAAGGAAAAGAAAGAAGAAGAAGAAATTAAGAGTTACAGGCAAGAACAAAGAGCAGGAGAAACTACACGGCATTTGAAGGTAAAGCCGTTTCATTCTTTTTAATTTTTTTTTTCTGGGTTGGTTCTCTTCTCTGCTTTGTAGGAAGAAAAGAAGCACTTTGCTTCTTCAAACTGTCCCATTCCCCAGAGCAAAAAATGAAGGTAGAGATTCTAAATAAGCAACCCCAGATCCTTTTTCTCTCTCTCTGGTTATTCACCAAGACCTACGAAGAAAACTTGGGAAATTTCTCTTCTCTACTCAACCGATGGCAGCAGGTGTTGATGTAGCAACCAAACCGCAACACCACCGCTCTTCAACCGTTGTCTTCAGCAGTCCTTCAGAAGAAGCCCAAAGGCCCCGAGGACGGTGAACCAAGCAATCAAGCAAACCGCAACACCACCACTCTTCAACTGTTGTTTCCGGCAGTCCTTCGGAAGAAGCCCAAGGGCAGTGCCATCCGCACTCCGAGGACGGTGAGTGATGTAGTTAGGCACGTGGGTCCAGACCATCAACAAATTCGACAAAGGCTCGTATGAGAAGATGGCAGCAATGGTTAGTGTGAAGAAGTGAAAGAAAAAATGCAACACTAATCGCCATGAGCCATCCCCACCCCACTGACAGTGGCGAGAATAATCCAAAACCTTCAGAAAATGTGGAAGACATCCGAAGGCAAGAAAGCCGAGAATTTGGGAAAAGAGAAACGTCCCCAGGTCCAAGGATGTAGCGGAAGTGGTTCTAAAGCTACACTTTAAAACAGATTGCAGAGGCTCAAAGGCTCTCTGTGAAGTTCCTGCATCCATATCCGACGACCGTGCTGTATTATTTGAGACTAGGAAAGTTTGAAGTCTTCAAAGTGGAGGAAGAGTTTGGCATGCCGCCCGTTTTCGTCGAAAGTCAAAGATGGAGGGAGACAAGCAGCAACAACAAAGAAGTGGTGTATCATCCTTCCGTTCTCGCGGATGAACAAGAAACGGTAGAGGAATAAAATAAGGCTGTTATCTTCCTCTCATGGGTCTTCACTACACTACATATTTGAATAAAAACTCTCAAAAAGAAATCAAAGACTTCAGAACCTCTTCAACCAACCAAAAGCAAAAGGTGTTTAAAACCCTTTTCACTCCGTGGCATGAATCCCACCAAAAAAAAAAAGTTACTGCAGGAGGGAAACAAATAGATGTTTATTTCCATGTAAAGTCCTACGGGGCTTGGAAGAGATGAAATTCACAAAGAAAGAAAAAAAAAAGCTTGCTGACAACGCCCCAAATCAAATGGGAGAGATACTCACGTGGCAACTGTAAAATGCCATAGCTCTTCAAACATAAAATCATGTGGTTGTTGTAAAATCGACTATGGGTGCAGTGGAATAAATAAAAAAGACACAAAATTTACGAGGTTCCTCTACAGTCAGTGTGACTGGAGTACGTCCTCGGGGCAGCAGTGGGGCTTTCATTATAATTTGAAATAATAGGAGTACAAAGATAACTCTCTCTATTATCTCCTCTCATCTTCCTCTTCCTTCCTTCCTCTCTTTCTTTCTTTCTTTTCATTCCCATCTTTCCCGTGAACTCTTCTCACTTTATCTCCTCTTCTTCCTTTATATAAACAAAAGAAAGCACTATTCACTTTACAAATTTTCCACAAATGAATAGTGAAAATACTGTGCATAAATAGTAACAAACTATTCATGTGGACCATCCACATAATATTTACAACACTCCCCCTTGGATGGCCACAAATCTTCGATTGACTCGTTAAAATCTTGATCTGTCTTGGATGCTCCCCCTGATGAGTATCTCCCCCTGATTTCAAATCATTTAGGTTGATCGTTGATCGTTCTGCTTTAGTCTCTTAGTAAGAAGAGTTGCTGAAAGAGTTGCTTTACTTGTTGTTAACTTTCCACAGGTTTTTTCTTGAACTGGGTTGTAGGACTTTCTGCTAGACTAGCATCGAATATCTGAATTTACTCCTTTTATCTGGAGCGGAATTTGATTCAAAAGTGGTGGACACTTGATCTTGAATCGGACTTATGATTTTTTCAAAGACTTTGAGGCTTGATCTTGAAAGAAATTGTACCGTTAAGAGCTTCATGTGGCAAGTGATCTTCGGTTTTGTCGGGAATGAATCAACACGTGTTTGTTGTGCTTGTCTCCACATGCTTCAATGTATCATTTTCACTTGTCTTACTTGCTCCCGTTGCTTAAGTGGTATTTTCCCTGGTTTTCCCCTACATGTGTGGCATCTTCTCTTGTAGGATTTGTCCCCTGATGCAGGAAAGGAATGCAAACCCTTGCATTTGAATGGTTCATCACTTCTTGGTGACTGGAGACCCAGCTCCAACCGTTGAAAATGACTACTCGAGAGCAATACTAGGTAAGCAATCAGGAAAGGTTCCAGGCAGTCGGTTCCTTACCGGGAGTTTGAGTGGAGGTTCTGACATATTGCTTTCTTTATCCTTGTCTTTGCAGGCAAGAATAAGGACAAAGGAAAGGACAAGGAGATTGCATGATATGAGATAATCTTGCTTTGGTCCCTGAAGATATGTGATAATCTTGCTCTGGTGTGACATGTTTGAAGAGGTATTCTTGGAGAGGAAGAAAATTGAGTATTTCGAGATGTTATGTTGAAGATGCATTCTCAGAGATGAGGAAGAGTTAGGTATTCTTGCAGTGTTGCGGGTCTACCTTGTCATGGAGAACAGAGGTCGACATATATAGAGATTTCTCAATAGCAAGTGGTGGTGCTGTGCTTTTACTCTTGTCAGCAACTGTGGTGTAAATAGAACAGTAAGATTTATGCGTTTTCAACTTTTTCAGAGATCTTTGACAAAGTTGCACGCGATATCTGAAAAGCTGAGATTACGTCTGAAAAATGCCAACGAATTTTATTCAGGAAAATCTGGCTTTTGAAATTTGGAGAGCGGTGCCTCATCGATCTTTGAACAAGTGGCTCTGCTGCCTCTTCTTTTATAAAGACATCAATTGTGTTCAAGAGTATGCTCAGAAAGTTGCTGCTTGTAGAAATTTCCCCTATCTTGCACCTTTGAAATTTTATTTTGACCTCTGTTTTTCCTTCATCATTTCTGAAAAATGACTTGCCCATCTAACATTTGCTTAGATTTGAGTCTTAGGAGTGATACAGACGAGCAGCGTCAGGATAATATATGGCGCCCGTCCCTCTTATCTTCTAATGGTCCTCTTACGGTTGGGGACTCTGTGATGAAGAATAACATAACCGCTACTGTGGTAGCTAGGAATCTTCTCACTCCAAGGGATAACAAGATCCTTTCATAACGGTCTGAAGAGTCGGCCGTTCAAGACTCCTTGGCTCTCAGTGTTCAGTGTGCTGGCTCTGTGTCCAATATGGGCCAACGCCTACTTGCTCAAACTCGCCAAGTTGAATCATTGATGGCGGAGGTGGCAAGTCTTAAACAAGAGATCAGAAGGCTCAAGCACGAGAATAGGGTGTTACACGTGCTTGCAAATAATTACTCTACGAGCATGAAAAGAAAGCTCGTCCAACTACAGGAATCTGAAAGTCGGATTCAAAGTGATCACCAGAGGTTCGTTGCTAGATTCCGAAAGCAACTGATGCTTCCCCTTCTGGTGTTTTGCTAAGTACTGGGGTGCCACATGATCAATCTCCAGTGCCTCCCCCTTCTGGGGTACTTCCGAGTACTGAGGCTTCACATGAGCAACCTTTGTGAAGGCTCCATCCTGTTTGTTTGTTTTAACTCATGTGTATGTATATATCTGTAATTTCTTGGAGATATAAATAAGCTTTATTTCATTCAATGTATTGTGCCAAATACAATGAAGCATATACTTCACTAAGATGTGGTACTTCTGGACCAAATATTAATTTATCTTTACCCTCACGAAGATAAATGATTATTCTTAGTGTCTTCATCATATGAGTATTCAACTCATAATCTTCAATCCATATGGTTTTTTTAATATCATAAATATCATGGATAAGATTCGTGTTGGTAGATTGTTCGATCTGCAACTCGAGACAATAATTCCTTCAACACTTTATAATTTTTCTAGACTCTTCAGGAGTCCCAATTTAATATCATCAACTCTTCAAGAGTTCTAATTTAATGTCATTGACTCTTGCAAGAGATTTTAGTATGTTGCAACAATATCATAATGATAGTACTCACTAAGGCAATTTATATCATCCATTGGTATTGAGTACATATTTTATGTTTTACCCTTCAGATGCTTACTTCAAGCAATTTGAATCCTTCAAAGGTTTTCTACACTTCATGACACATTTTCCTTTAGAATTTATACAGAGCAATTTGCTCCCATGTATACTTGAGGGATTTACTGGAGATATAATGTGGGCGACTCACAACCCTTCGTATATAATTCTCCATTCATATGAACTCGTTTACAACCTTGTGTCATATCATGTAAGTGTATTACACTGTATTACAAATGCCCATATATAACCTCCTTGGTTCAACATCTTTTTGGCTATTTGTATTGTATTCAAATATATATAGGTTCATTTGCCCACGTTCTTACAAAATTGTAATGGAATTGCCGTTCTCCATTTTGGCCAATAATTTTTCTTTTGTCGACGAACAAAAGAACGTGACTCAATATTAACACAGTTCATTGATGAATTTAGTAGCTACTTGTAAAAACCAAAATTACCATTGGTTATCATCAATCCGTGATCCCATATTCTCATGTGCATGCGCATGCATAAAAGCTTTTCATTTCTTTGGATATCCAGTGCCTCTTCAAGGGCATGACGCTATCTCTTCCAGGATAGTCATAATTTAGAGAATGTGGATCATAACCTCATCTTGAGCGTTATAGAGCTTGGATTTTAATCTCCACTTCCGGGAGTTGAGTCATTGGAACCTATATGTCTATTATGCTCTATGTATGAGACATCAACATTCCCATGTCTGTGGATTGTCCTATCTGGGACGTGTATCCATGCGGTGACTGTCATGCTTCTGGCATGCAACAGTTATGCTTCGGGAATGCAATAGTTCAGTAGTGCCATATTATTCTTCTTTCGAATAACTGAACCTTTTGAGTCTAAAAATCTGCCACGCTTCAGGCGTGCAACAGATAAATCATTTACTGTCTCATTATTTTATTCAACAGAGACATCAATTCTTGTAGGCACATTTGCAGTAAGTATATATGATTTCATCACTTTCGTTGCATCATTCAATTATTCATATTTCATTTTCTCATTGATTGCTTCGTGAATCAAAATAAGACAAATTCTCTTCGTTCTTCTGGAACGGTCTTTTCTCATCATTCTTTTGGAATGATATTTTCTCATCATTCTTTTGGAATGATATTTTCTCATCGTTCTTCTGGAACGATGTTATTTTCTCCCCTAATGGCGGGAAAACTGTCTTATCAAAATCATAGTCCGCAAATCATGCGGTAGACATATCCCCAGTTAAGGGTTCCAAATATTGAATGATAGATGGTGTTCAACATCAATGCCTAATCTGCAATGATGCTTCATTTCAGTACGTTGTGGCAGTCTTACAGGCACATAGACAACACAACCAAAAACTCGTAAATGTATAATGTTTGGTTGGTTCCCAAACCCGAGTTGTACTGAGAAGTATTGATGGTTGATAACATATCTCAACCGAATTAATAATGCATCATGTAAAGTTTACATGTCCCCATGTAGAAAACTGGCAATTTCGTTTTTATGAGCAGAACATTGGTAATCAATTTCACCCACTTAATAAATGCTTCTGCTAAACCATTTTGAGTATGGACATGAGGAACTTCTGGTCCTTGTTTAATAGTCTGTGAACTGAGACTCTTATGTCCTTTATTATGGTTAAGTTGAGGCACTGCGACACTTTAAACTTACGGTACTCATCAAGGAATTTCATGACCTGATCTTCAGGATCAAAGGACTTCATGCCTGATCTTTTTGTATGATGGAACTTCAGGTACAATCATTTGTATATGATGAGGATCAAGAAACTGCAGGTTCTAATCTGATCAATGAACTTTAGGTCTTATATATACTCATTGTAACAAAAGATAAGTGCAATAAATAAATTAAAGCAATAGGCGGTAATCCAGCCATAGTAAATAAATTGAACAATAAATAAATTAAAGCTTGTGACAAGGGCTTTAATTCAGCACCATTCACATAAATCAAAACTTAAAGCAGTAGGCGGTAAAACCGTCCATGATAAATAAATTGCTTTAAAGTAAATAGAACTTGTGACATGGGCTTTAAACCAACACCATGCACATAAATAAATATATACATATTTTCTTCTTTCTTTTCAGATGGTGTAACACCATCCAAAACCTTTACCTTTATTATTATTTTTCTTATTCATTCACATGCTACAACATTCCAAAAACTTTTGGTTTTATTTCTTTTATTTTACATGGTGCAACGCACCTTTCTAAATCATTGGCCCCATTTCCCCTTTTCTTTGTCTATCTCTACCAGTCTCGAAACCCAGTACCAGCTGGGTTGTTGTGGGGGTTACACAAAACCTATTCAATCCAAAAAGGCTACCAGAGACTGGCGTTGTTCTTGCATGGCCCAAAGAACATGGCATCGCAAAGCAAGAACCTCTCCATATAGACATAGATGACAGTGAGGTTGACGAAGGCACAAGAGAGGGAGGCATGTGTGGAGTCAGTCATGCCATCACCATCTCAGACAACTGAGGATTCATGGAGGTCCTCGAGATCCATTGAGAACGACACGATCTGGGTTTCCAAGTCTAATGAGATTCTTCTGGATCTTTGGAAACCAGTTGTCAGGTACGAGTTTTCTTATCTCGTGACGACTTCAGGTCGTTGGAAATTTCAATTCGCACCGGAATTCGGTGGGGCGCTTCTGGCGCGGTGGGAGAAACGAAAAATGGACATACCTTTGCTTGTTTTGCTGCACCTTTGTTTGTCTGTAAGATCTCTCCATCTTTCTTGTCCACGAGAGAAAAAATAGATTGCAGGTCTAGCAGGGATAAGGATTAGCACATCAATAGTTAGAGTGATAAAAGAAAGGTTGATGGAATTTTGACAAGATGATCTTCCCTGTTTGACATGTCTGGCTTGCCGTCTCTACTCTGTGAGATTTTAGCTGACCGAGGTGAGAGGTAGATAATGCTTCACCAGATTTATGATGTTGTGCTTTCCACTGACATGAGAGCTTTTCGTGCTGATAACGTGTTGTAAAATCGACTGTGGCAGTGGAATAAATGAAACAAGACACAAAATTTACGAGGTTCCTCTACAGTCAGTGTGACTGGAGTACGTCCTCGGGGCAGCAGTGGTGCTTTCATTATAATTTGAAATAATAGGAGTACAAAGATAACTCTCTCTATTATCTCCTCTCATCTTCCTCTTCCTTCCTTCCTCTCTTTCTTTCTTTCTTTTCTTCTTTTCATTCCCATCTTTCCCGTGAACTCTTCTCACTTTATCTCCTCTTCTTCCTTTATATAAACAAAAGAAAGCACTATTCACTTTACAAATTTTCCACAAATGAATAGTGAAAATATTGTGCATAAATAGTAACAAACTATTCATGTGGACCATCCACATAATATTTACAACAGTGGTTTCTTTCAAGAGAAAGTCTGACTATAAAAGCTTGGAAAATGCATTTATAAAAAATAGTGCTCTGCCACTTGCTTTTATTAAACAATATGAAATCAAAGGCTTGTTGTGTTACTGTGCAAAGATAAAAGGTGACGACTAAGGGACATGCATGATGACAAAATGACATGGGTTTCAAGACAATGTAAAGCAAGGCAAATAAAAGAAAGAAAAGTCTAGGTCTCATCCTAAAAGCACTAGGCATTGATTATTAAAGGAAAAGACATGGGTCATTCTTGTCAAAACCCATCAATTCATTTTTGCCAATCATCATCTTTTGGTTCAAATAAATCAAATGGACACCTTGCGTTTGCCAAAGTCTTAAGCCAAAATCCCAAATCGACAACAACAACACCGCTCCATCTCCTTTGCAACCTCATTGCCGCAACAAATTTTAACGAACTACGCCGGTTTGATTTCGTTGAGGATACGTAGGCAGTCTAATATCAAGTTTTAGATGCAACCGTGAAACCGAAATGAATCCCTGATTTATATAAACTAAATTCACTCCTGCTATTAAATACCAAAATGGCACGAAGCCGAAGAAAAGTTTCAAAGGGCAGGAAGCCGTATCAAAGTCTCAAATGGCACAAAGTCGAAGAAAAGTCTCGAATGGCATGAAGCCATATCAAATTTTCAAATGCTCCCCGCCCGCATGAGCTGAAACTGCATAAGGCACTATGCTCCTCGCCCGCATGAGCTAAAACTGCACAAGGCATCAAATCCAAACAAGTATCAAATACCCGAATTACGAGTGACTTGATCCCTCAAAAGGGTACGTAGGCAATCTAGGATTCGACCTAGGTGCAGTCACAAAATCAAACAAACACCAAAATCCTCAAATTACGATTTATTCGAATTGGAATCAAATGGTATTCCTTTTCCAAAAGAATGGTTGTAATTAATAGGCACGTAGCCTAGAATGGATTGAATTCGAATTAATAAAACCCTCTTCGAAAAAATGAACGAGGGTGAAATTGTGTTGAGTGAATTATTTGTTTACATATTATGTACAATTTTTGCTCAACAGCTAGTTTAGCAATTAACAATGGGAATCTTGAACTTGTAGATGGGAAAGAGAAATCCACATGGTCAATTAATATTCCGGAGTCATCAAATAGTTCAGCTGCAGTTCTTTTAGACACTGGAAACTTCGTTGTTGCAGATGATAAAGGACATCACTTATGGGAGAGCTTTGATTGTCCTGGTGGCACACTTCTACCAGAAATGGCGCTGGGATTTGATAGTGAATCAGGAAAGCGGAATGTCTTGACTGCCTGGAAAAGCTTGAATGATCCATCAAGAGGGTTATTCTTGGTTGAATTGGCACAAGAGATCCCAGCTCAGGGATTCATTTGGATTAACGGATCAACTCCCTACTGGAGAAACGGTCCATGGGAACTCTGTAAGCATCATTTCTTCCTATTCTCATAATCGTTGTTCACCAACTAAAGTTTAACCCATAAATAGCACATAATTGTCAATTAAGTGGGACTGAATTTGCCTGTGCAGTGGCTTTATGTCTTCGAAGTATGCCATGGACGGGATATTTTCTGAAAAATCCGATGTCTATGGCTTGGTCTTGCTATTGGAGATTGTCGGCAGAAAGAAACCAGCTCCTTTTACAAGGAACAAAAGCTAGGTTTCCTAGCTTATGTAAGTTCCTCTATATGAAAACTCAATACAGCAGTTCAGTCTAGCAATTGTAGCCAACATATATAACTTTTTTCAGGCATGGAACTTATGGAATGAAGGCAAGGGATTGGACTTTGTAGATGAAGTATTGGCAGATTCATATTCGGCATCAGAAGTGACAAGATGCATGGATATCGGGCTTCTTTGCGTGCAAAACAATGCTGCAGATAGGCCAACCATTGCAGATGTGGTTTTCATGGTAAGGAGCGAGACAGATCGTGTGCAACCTAAGCAGCCTACATTCACCTTCCAAAACTCTCTGTCTGATATAACCATGTTTGGTCTGCAAATGAAGCCACTATATCACTTCTCGAAGGACGATAATAAAAGAGAACCTGCCCAGCTCGCTGAAGTCCCTACACAAATCTACAAGTCAAAGTCTAAGCACTATCTAGAATTGTCTAAATAAATATCTTAAGATTGTTGTAAGCGAATGTTAGTGAAAAATCTAGGAACAAACCATACTTGTGGTTGGGAGAATATTTTTCTCACCACCCATCGCTCAACCCTTTTTGTTTAAAGGCTTTTTAGTCAAAATAGTCATTGAGATTTATATTACTCCTCACTTTGGTCCCTAAGATTTCAAACTAATAGAAGTGGTCGCTGAGATTGTCCACCAGCCATTATTTTGGTCATTCCGTTAAAAACTCCGTTAAGTGTCCCCGAACTTTTGGCCAGAAGTTTGGGCAATTTTTAAAGCTTCGCAACTCAATCGTTTCTTAACAAAATTCGACCCATAATATATCAAAATGAAGATAGGAAAGTGTAGAATTAGATTATATCATTTGGAAGCCCAATGGTTGCCGGAGATGGTCAGAAAATAACCTCAAAGTTGACTGGTCCGAGGGAAAACTAGAAAACTCGTCTGAAACTTGGTAAACTTTAAATGTTCATAACTTCTTCAATACTCAACGAAATCAAGTGATTAAAAAATGAAAATCATACTTCTCGATGACACAAATAGAATGGTACCTTTTTCAGCAGCTAAATCGCCGTGATTTGGACGGAAAACGGCCCTAAAGTGCTCGGTCTTGGGTTAGCTACTTTTCAAGCCGTTTTTCGACCAAACCACTATGAGTTAGCCATAAAAAAAAGGTACCATTCTCTTTTTCTCGTTGAGAAGTATTATTTTCATTTTTGAATTACTTGATTTCGTTGAGTATTGAAGAAGTTATGAACGTTTAAAGTTTATCCAGTTTCCGACAAATTTTCTAGTTTTCCCTCGGACCAGTCAACTTTGAGGCTATTTTCCGATCATCTCCTGCAACCATTAGGCTTGCAAATATGTATAATCTTATTTTACACTTTCCTATCTTCATTTTGATATATTATGGGTCGAATTTGGTTAAGAAACAATTGAGTTACGAAGTTTTGAAAATTGCCCAAACTTCCGGCCAAGAGCTCCGGGACACTTAACGGAGTTTTTAACGGAATTACCAAAATAATAGATGGTGGACAATCTCAGGGATCACTTCTATTGATTTGAAATCTCAGGAATCAAAGTGAAGAGTTATGCAAATCTTAACGATCATTTTAACTAAAAAACCTTGTTTAAATTTTAAAATTTAAATTTATTCAATAATAATAAATAAATGATAAATATTACGACCACATGAGAATGAATACACGTTGTGATTGTAAAATAATTAGGTGGTCTATCGGTTGTAATTAGAATATTACTCGAACTTGTCTTAAATAGTGGCTGGGTTGTGGTCAGCCATAGCACCGACCTAACAAAGTCGGCTAGTCGGTTGTAATTAGAATATTACTCGAACTTGTCTTAAATAGTGGCTGGGTTGTGGTCAGGGACTTGGATTGTCTGCCCTCTTAGTTGTGGTGTCCTTCCATGCCCTCCTATTTTGTGCGGTCACGGTTAAATCACGTTAATATTTTATATTAATTTTTTAATGAGATAATAAAACAAAAAATAATTAAAATATAAAATATTGACGTGGCTTAACCGTGATCGCACAAAATAAGAGGGCATGAAAGGGTACCACAACTAGGAGGGCAGACAATCCTTGTCCTGTGGTCAGCCATGGCACCGACCTAACAAAGTCGGCTAGTATCATCTGTACGATGGCTGATATATGCAAGTGTAAGGAACAAGCAAGAGAGTGTTAGCTTGTAATAAAGTTGTGTGGCTGTTTTCCTTGTGAAGTAGTGTTGTAATATATTATGAGTGAAATACAAATGGGAAATGTTATTGGCATTTTAAAAATCTTATTTTACACTCATCACAAGTATATATATTTTTTCTAATATAGAAATTTTGAATGTAAAATGAGATTTTTCAAATACTAATAACAATTTCCAATACAAATAATTAGTTTACTTATCTTGCCTCTAGCCATATAATTAGAGTTGCGTACTTTAATATTTTTTAACAGTTTGGCACAACAATGAAAAGAGCGTGAAAGTTGTGTGGCCGAAGTCCTTGATGGTTTGACTTTGAAGGTTGATTCTCATCCAACCTGTGTTTAATAGAGAATTTGAGATATTTAAATTGAGTTGTAAATATTTCAGGTAAAATTTTGATTCAATTTTTTAAAAATCTCATGAGAAGATATGAGATTTATAAGACTTTTAATAAACTATCTTAAAATCTTAATTAAATACACTTTAAATTTCAAAAAATCACTTAAAATCATAATTAAATACCTTTAGATTCATTAAAAGAATTAAAATCTCAATTGAATACATCCCAATTTACATGTATGTCCCTCCTCTGTTTCTTATCTTTGATTTTTCTTGCATTTGATTTTTCTTGCTTTACAAGAGATAAAGATTTTTCCTTTCTGACTAAATGTACTTCTTTTTTTCATATCAATAAAAAAATTTCGTATCCATCAAGATTTAAAAAAAAAAAAAAATCTGATTTATACAAAAATATTAATTAGAGATCATAATAAGTTAAGAATCATAATTATCGTCTATCAGATAGGCGAAAGCAAAATTTGATCGGGGCAGGTGTTAATTCAAATCAATCACACCGGGCATCTAATTATTAATGAGTGGAATTGGTTTAGACATTTAAGTTAAAATTGGCTAGTCAAAGTTGGGTGCTGGGAATCTTGACTTCAACTTCCCACACCATATTCACGTTTTTCACTTTTCCAATAGTAATACTATATAAACTAAATTTGTAAACAAAATTTTAAAAATTAAAGAATATAAGAGTTAATAATTAATTTATTATTTAAACGTTGATAAAAGTCTTTATTTCAATTGATGATCCATCATTTAATTTATAAATTTAATCTTTAAATTTAATTTCTCTAACATTATCTTTTTTCAATACATTCCTTTCGTTTTCTCTATTGTGATTATATAACTTGCCAGCAGATATATTTGTGTTTTATTCTTTTCTTTTTCACAATAAAGTTTCTACTTTGTAGTTTGAATTTAAAAACGAAAAAGATCAAGGGTCAAAGGCTCGACAATAATAGGTTAGGTCCACTAGTTAAGTTTCAGACGGTTTCTTAAAAATTAGAGTCCTTTAGAATATTATTTTTATAAATATAGTTGAGTACGTCAGAAAGAAACAAATAAAGTTAGTTAGTGTATTTTACTCGTTTTCTTACACTGAAGTTTGAATCTAGTTCCTCAAAAACTAGTGTCGTTTAGAGATTTTTTAGTATTTTTGTCACACGAAGTGGAATACCATGTGTTCTTGTATAAATGGTGGGTTATGTGTCTTAAAAGGTTAATAACTTAAAAATTAAAATTTTCCATCACTTGTATAAAAACACATGATGTATCATCCGTATTCCTTCACAACTAAAAATTTTCTGTGTTGGATAGCATATTACTTTCATAAAGTTGAATAAGATGGAGAGATTAGAGAGAGAAACAGCTAAAGTTTGACCATGCGAGAAGATGGACTTTATTAGATAAAGCTAGCCACAAAGAGTACCTAATCCTCGTCACTAAAGCTTTGGATGACAGCATGATAAACCCCATGTTTATTGGGTAAGAATAGTCGCAAGCTCCAAATATACATCCATTATTCAAAGTATAATCATTAATTTGATTTGTTAATGAAGAGAACATATGGGTTTTTGTAATTTAGTATTCCTCTCCAGCTTCCTCCTTCTGTCACAGATTTCTTGTGCTGCAGAAGTTTATAGCATAACTTCTCTGCAACCATTAGCACAGGGACAAACTCTCGTCTCCCCCAGCCGCATTTTCGAATTGGGATTCTTCAGTCCTAACAGTTCTGGTAATAAGTACGTCGGAATATGGCACAAGAGTATACTTCCGCGGAAAGTTGTATGGGTGGCCAACCGAGACAACCCTCTTGCAGTTACAGACGCATTGGCTAGCTTGACAATCACCAGCAACGGGAATCTGCAGCTCGTAGATGAGAAGCGGAATGAAGTTTGGTCAACGAACATTTCGGTTTCATCGAATGGTTCTCCATCTGCACTTCTTTTAGACAGCGGAAACTTTGTCATCGAACTCAAAAAAGGAGATGAGTACTTGTGGAAGAGCTTCGATTATCCTGGCGACACTCTTCTACCGGGTATGCTGCTGGGATTCAATAGTAAATCTGGAAAGCGGAGTTTCTCGACTTCTTGGAAAAGTGAGAATGATCCATCAACCGGGAAATTCTTGGTTGGATTGACACCGCAGAACCCGGCACAGGTTTTCATTTGGATTAATGGATCAACTCCTTATTGGAGAAGCGGTCCATGGGATAAAGCAATGTTCATCGGCATACCGGATATGGATGATCAATATCTAAGTGGATTTCATCTGGATGCTGATTTGCGGCAGGGAACAAAGTATTTCTGGTACAATTTATTCGGCAAGACTCTAGCATATCTGTACATCTCCTCAGAAGGGAAACATAAGTATATGTATTCAAAATATGGAGAAAACTGGAATCTTCACTGGGAGACCCCAAAATTTCCATGTGACATCTATGGAACATGTGGACCTTTTGGGGTATGCGAAGCTTCGAAATCTTCAACAACTCCAATCTGCAAGTGTTTGAAAGGGTTTGCGCCTAAGTCAGTAGATGAATGGAACAGGGGAAACAGGACAAGCGGTTGTGTGAGGCAAACCGAATTGTTTTGTGAGAGTAACACAAATCAGTCAGTCTCTTTGAGCAAAAAAGAAGATGGGTTTTGGAAGATGTCAAGTGTAAAACTACCAGATTATCATGAATATTCGTCTTTGGATGACGAAGACTGCAGGATACTTTGCCGAGATAATTGTTCGTGCCTGGCTTATGCTTACGTTAACGCTATAGGGTGTTTGGTCTGGTTCAAAGACCTTATTGATATTTCAGAGTTTTCCTCTGGTGGAGCAGATCTTTATATTCGCTTAGCAAACGCAGAACTCGGTAAGTGACAATATTGTTTGCACAACTTTACTTACAAATATCTGTTGTTTTCTGTCTTATACTTTATGCATACACATTCATCTTTTCAGGTGAAGAACAAACGCATATAAAGTTAATTGTCAGCCTCGCATTGATTTGTTTTATCATCATGGCTGCCATTGTGTTCGGTTTGTACAAGTTGCGAGCCAACCAAAAGGGTAAGAGCGTGAGGTAGAGGGATGCAGTCAATAGATTAGCAATTCATCAGTTTACGATGCCATATATCTTTGTAACCTTTGATATAATAAGGTAATTAGATGAGCATATTGATCTGACTTCTTTGTTGTTTCTCTGACTCTGAATTTTGGTTGTTTTATACTTGCAAAATCAGGAACCATCAAAGTGACGAGAAGTGAGATTACATTGACTGATACAATTGATTCATCAAGGGAAAGTCTTCAGGAATATATTCGAACGCATGATCCATCAGAGCTATTAATCTATGAATATGATTTCGATAGCATATTAACTGCTACTAGCAATTTCAGCATCACAAACAAGCTCGGAGAAGGAGGATTTGGAGCAGTTTATAGGGTGATTATTCGTTTGCGTTTTCTTCATTTCAAAGGAAAATATATAATTATATTGACATAAATGTAATGTGTAATATGTGGACCTCATGCATGTAGGGTAAGCTAGAAGAAGGGAAGGAAATAGCAGTAAAAAGACTATCCAGCAGCTCGGGGCAAGGGATAGAAGAGTTCAAGAATGAGATGCTGTTGATCTCCAAACTCCAACACAAGAACCTCGTAAGGTTGATGGGCTGCTGCATCAAAGACGATGAGAAGTTAATAATTTATGAGTTCATGCAAAACAAAAGCCTGGATACTCTTCTATTCGGTTAGTTTAACTGGCCCTTTATATTTGCCTTCATTTTCTAGTTAAGATCGATGTTTTCATTGTACTATATGCATCGGATATATGAATGCAATACTTCGTTACATTTATAATGTGTTCATTGATTAGATCCAATGAGAAGAGGAGTGCTTGATTGGGCAAAACGCTTCAATATTATTCAAGGTGTAGCCAGAGGACTTCTTTACCTCCACCATGATTCCTGCTTGAAGGTAATACATAGAGATTTGAAGGCAAGTAATATACTCTTGGATGAGAACATGAACCCAAAAATTTCGGATTTTGGACTGGCACGTATCTTTCAAGGAACACAGAACTTAGCAAACACTCAGAAGGTTGTGGGAACTCTGTAAGCTTCGTTTCTTTGTAATCTCAGAATTCTAGTGGATAATTGTTAGTTGAGTACTAATGAATTTCCTGTGCAGTGGCTATATGTCTCCAGAATATGCCATGCGCGGTATATTTTCTGAAAAATCTGACGTTTATAGCTTCGGGGTCTTGGTATTGGAGATTATTGGCGGCTGTAAGAATACCAGCTTCTATGACCATGAAACAGAGCTATGCTTCCTACCTTATGTAAGTTCAAACTCTCAATCTTAATGTGAAACTGTGAAGCTTAAACAATCTATATGAAGCTTAATACAACATCATCTAACATTTGTAGCCGATATACATGACTGTTTCCAGATATGGCACAACTGGAGTGAAGGCAAGGGATTGTACTTAGTAGACGAAGTATTGGCGGATTCATATTCCGCATCAGAAGCAACGAGATCCTTGCATGTTGGGCTTCTTTGTGTACAAGACAATGCTGCAGATAGGCCAACCATGCCGGAAGTGGTTTTCATGCTAAGTAGTGAGACACATCGTCCACAACCTAAGCGGCCTATATTCACTTTCCAAAACTCAGTTTCTGATCGTAGGCCGCGGTATGACAATACTTGCTCCGCCAATGAAGCCACCATAACGCTTCTTGAAGGACGATAGGCAGAAGCTAAATGTTATTTCACAGTGAAATGTTAACATCCTCTAATGCCTTCCAAACTTGGTTGCACAGACACTCCGAAACCCCGAAGTGTGGGAATGTCAAACACGCCCCGGATACGGTTTGGACAAGGTCAAGACAAGACAAGAGCTTTTCCGTAAATTTCAAAAAAAATTGGGGGCATTTTTGGAGATAAATAAAAAGTTTGAGGCAGTTTTGTAAATATAAAACAATTGAGGGCAGTTTGTAAATATAAAAACTTATAAAACCTGAAGTTTATAAGTTCCTTTTATGGTGGGGGGTGGGGCAGTATCATAAATATAAAAACTCATTGACTCCAAAATTAGAGGCAAGCATTTCATATTTTGATTAGGTGAGTAGTTTTTTTTAATATATGTAATACTTATTCTAATTTAATCGTCGTGTTTTAATCGTGTTCGTGTTCTTATTTTTTAAGATTCATCATGTCCAATATAAATTTTAAAAAACTTCGAATACGACGAGAATGACACGAGAAAATACTTTATAATGACTTGAGAAAATACTTGATAATAATTTTTGTAGAAATTTACAAAATCGTTGTCTGCTCATAATATTTTATTATGATGGGTGAAGACAATTCGTCACTGGTCCTCTCACGCAAGCATTACTTTTATACGTTTTTTTTCTTTCTTTTTCCTGTTAATTTATCATGACATCTTCAAGTTTCCCAAATACTCTCAAAGTTATGGTTAGTAAAAGGGTTGGAGACCAGAAACTGGGAACAAACAAAGGGACCCAAAAGTACCAACCCCAAAAGAGTGTAAGCTAATGCCGACAGAATAATCGACTATCAAACTACTGAAATTAAGGGTGTGACAAAGTTGACCATTCCTGCCACTGGGGCAGATGGAAGGAGGATCAAGATTGTGCCAGGACCATTTGGAGTCCAAAACATATACATGTGAAGATCTTTCGAAAAAATTTCGAGTGTTTGTTACTTGTTATTTTTGTGCATTCTAAGTGTTTGATGTAATGCATGCTAGACATATCTCGATAGGTTACGTCAACAGCACTCGACAAATTCTCTATACCATTCATCAGATTGTTTCGGCATATGCTGTTATCTGTTGACGTGTGCACAATATGGTGGCGGTCAACAACAAGCCCGCCAAGTGTTAGATTAAATGTCTCAGTGAATAAACATTTTTTTAGCGCTTTGCGCTCTGTTTCTATCTAAAAAAACACCAGGACCCTCAAGATTCAAATCCTGGATCTGCCATTGCCTACCAGCCTACCAGAGAAAGTAAACTTGATAAAAAATAAATAAAAAAAAACTAATGAAAAGGGATTGAAAACTTTGAGTTTTAACGATACTTGATTACAATTAACCACCACCTAATTATCGTAAAAATGTGATTTTTCTTTAAAGTGTACCAGGATTGAATTTTTAGTTTTAAAATGTGATTTTTCTTTAAAGTGAACAATCTCGGGAGCTTTTCGTTAAGGTTCCCTTAAAAAAAAACTTAACGATACTTGATTACATTTAACCACCACCTAATTATCGTCATTAAGGTTTCGGACGATAAGTAGATAACACCACATTAGCTAAAAATTCAGTACTTAAGTGCCATCATTCATTGTTTTAATGATCATTGAACAAAAGTTAATTGGATACAAATGGTTCTTAACACTCAAAGTTTTTGTGTTTTCTTCACCTTACTTTTCTTCACTTTGCTTCTTCTGTCACTGGTTTCTCGTGCCGTAGAAGTTCACGACATAACTCCGTTGCGACCGTTAGCTCAGGGACAAACTCTTGTCTCGGCAGGCAACGTTTTCGAGTTGGGATTCTTCAGTCCTAATAATTCTGCTAATAAGTACGTGGGGATATGGTACAAACATATACTTCCTCGAAAAGTCGTGTGGGTTGCCAACAGAGAAAAGCCTCTTGCAGTTACAGATACCTTGGCTGGTTTGACAATCAGCAGCAATGGGAATTTGGAGCTTGTTGCAGTTCTTTTGGACAATGGAAACTTTGTTGTCAAATTTAATGTAGGTGTACCAGCTGATCGGTACTTGTGGGAGAGCTTTCATTATCCTAGTGACACACTTCTACCGCGAATGCTTGTTGGTAATTTGGATCAATGGATCGACTCCCTATTGGAGAATCGGGCCGTGGGATAAATCAAAGTTCATCGGCGTGCCAGGAATGGATGATCAATATCGAAGTGGATTTAATCTCGAGGATAATGCGCAGCAGGGAACAAAGTATTTCTCTTTTAATTTGTTTGCTAAAACTATTGAAGCATTTATGGACGTCTCTTTCGAAGGTGTATTAAGGCTTATCTATACAAAACATAGCGAGAACTGGAAAACTTTCTGGGAAGCCCCAGCGGCAAAGAATCCATGTGACAAGTATGGAGCATGTGGGCCTTTTGGGGTTTGCAAATCTTCTGAATCTCCAATCTGCAAGTGTTTGAAAGGGTTCGTGCCGAAGTCACATGAGGAATGGAGCAGAGGAAACAGGGCAGAAGGGTGTGTGAGGCAAGCCAAATTGTTTTGTGAAAGTACCACAAGTCAGTCAGTTGCTTCGAGAGGAAATGAAGACGTTTTCGAAGATGTCAAGTGTAAAACTACCAGATTTTCATGAATTAATTTTGTTCTTGGATAGAGAAGAGTGCAAGATACAATGCCTAAGTAATTGCTCTTGCCTGGCTTACGTGTATGTTGACAACATCGGATGTTTGATCTGGTCCAATGAACTAATAGATATTCAGGAGTTTTCATCTAATGGAGAAGATATTTTTATTCGCCTCCAACACACAAAATCTGGTAAGTTATAATAGTGATTACGCAACAACTTAAATATGCAGTATCTTTAGTTTCTGTCTCATGCATTTCGTACTATAAATTCATTTTTTTCAGGTCAAGGAAAGCGAACAAAGTTAATTGCCGGCCTCTCGGCTATTTGTTTTATCAATTTCTTGGTTGCCATAGTGTACGTTTTTCACAGATTGCAAGCTAACCGAAGGGGTAAGAGAGAGATAATGATATAGAGGGGTAGCAGTTAAGCATATTTACTAGTTGCAAGCTTACTCTTTTGAGATTGGATCTTAACGATTGTTTATTTGATTGTTGTAGTTGCCAAATTAGGAAACATCAAGGCAACAGCAAAGTTTGAACATACTGATCTGAATGAAAATTCAAGTGGCGGCACTGTTCAAGAATATATAAGAGAACATGAGCGGTCGGAGCTATTCCTCTATAGGTTTGACAGCATATCAATTGCTACGAACAATTTCAGCATCCCAAACAAACTCGGGGAAGGGGGATTTGTGTTGGAGTATGTGGCCAAGTGGCCAACTTTTGGCTATAAACAATTCAAAAGAAAAAAGACACCATGATGATGTTTCTTTCTTGTTTTGGGGAAAAGAAAAGCACACTTTGTCTAAAGTTTTTCTTTGGTCCATGTGAGAAGTCACGGGTAGAAGAAAGGGTGAGAAATAAAAGCTCATTTTGTTTTAGAAAAGAAAAAGGAGAGAGCTGCAGAGCATTAGAAAAAATATAAAGGGTGCAGCAACCCTTCGTTGAAGAGAAGAAGAAAGTGCTCTTCTTTTTGGTTAGCAATCATCCATCATAATTGTTGTTGTAATAGCTTTAAGCTATATGTATAGAGAAGAAATTATACATTATATTTCTTTCTCTATTTGTTTATGTGGTGTGTGAGAGCTATTGGGTGTATTGGGTTATTTGGGTTGTGAGATTGCCAACACTTTGTAAACTCCCATTTGGTTGATAGTGGATTATTGGGGTGAGCTCCTACTGCTCCGAGGACGTACTCCAGTTACACTGACTGTTGAGGAACCTCGTTAAAATCTTGGTGTTCTTTAATATTTTGTTCTTGCATTTTCATTTGATAAATTTCCTGTGGGTTAGCTTGAGTTGGTTCCATAAGGTTTGGTGCTGTCCTAGCACAACAATTGGTATCAGAGCACTGGTTGCTCTTGGGTACTCTAGTTGCCAAAGATGTCAGACGGGCAAGATGAGAATCCTTTTGGAAGTAGCTCCGGGTTTGCAAGAACTACGGTGCAAAATGCAAAGTTCGAAGTGGAAAAGTTTGATGGCACAAACAACTTCGGGATGTGGCAATGTGAGGTCAAAGATGTGTTGGCTCAACAAGATCTACTTGCCGCTTTAGGAGAGAAGCAGAAAACTATGTCGAAGCCGGAATGGGAGAAATTAAATTTGTGGGCTTGCTCTTCAATTCGGTTATGCCTTGCAAAAACTCAGAAGTATTTTGTGATGCGGGAGACGGTAGCAAGTGTGTTGTGGTAAAAATTGGAAGACAAGTATATGACGAAGAGTGCAGAGAACCGGCTACACTTGAAGAAAAAGCTCTACCGCTTTCAATACAAAGAAGGTACAAAAATGATTAGACACCTTGATACTTTTAATAAGTTGATTGCTGACTTGTTAAATTTAGATGAGGATATTAAGGATGAAGATAAGGCCTTAATATTGTTGAATTCCTTGCCGGACTCTTATGAGCATTTTGTTACCACTATTATGCACGGTAAAGAAACTGTGAAATTTGGATGTGTCAAATGCCTTGATGAATTATGAAATGAGGCATAGAGATAAAAATCATGATAGTACCTCTGAAGCTTTATTTGTTAGAGGTAGATCATCGGAGAGGAAGTCATCTTCTAGTAGAAAAAAATCACAGTCTCGACCTAGAGGAAACTCTAAAGGTAGAAAACCTTTGGAAAGGGATGAATGTGCCTTTTGTCGTAATAAGGGCCATTGGAAGAAAGATTGTCCTAAATTGAAGACCAAAGGCAAAGAATGTTCTGAAGCTAATGTTGATGAGGTTGAAACAGATTTTTCTGATTTTGCTTTAACCACTTCCTCATCATTTGATTGTGCTACTAAGTGGGTGTTGGATACGGGTTGTACTCATCATATGACTCCTCACAAGGATTGGTTTTCAAGCTTGAAAGAGTTTGATGGTGGCGTTGTGTTCATGGGAGATGACAATCCTTGCACAACAAAATGGATTGGTACAGTTCGTTTGAAGTTGCATGATGGCATGGTTAAAGAGTTGACAGGTGTTCGGTACGTATCGAATTTGAAGAAAAATCTTATTTTTTTTGGTACTTTGGAATCCAAGGGTTTCAGGTTTCATTCAGATGGACAGACATTGAAAGTTACTTATGGTGCACTTGTTGTGATGAAAGCTCCTAGATGTGGCCATTTGTATTTATTGCAGGGAAATACTGTGACAGGTGAAGCATCTGTAGTCTCTGAAAATATGGGCACATCTGATTCAGATACTACTAGACTGTGGCATATGAGATTAGGCCATGCCGGTGAGAAAGCTCTACAAGGGCTTGTGAAACAAGGTCTTCTAAAAGGTGCCACGACTTGTAAGCTTGATTTCTGTGAGCATTGTGTCTTGGGGAAGCAAACTAGAGTGAAGTTTGGTACTGCTGTACATCAGACGAAGGGCATTCTTGATTATGTGCATTCGGATGTTTGGGGTCCTACAAAGACTCCCTCTTTGAGTGGTAGACATTGGTTCGTGACTTTTGTTGATGATTATTCAAGAAGGTCTTGGGTCTACACTATGAAGCACAAGAGTGAGGTGTTAAGCATTTTCTTGGGTTGGAAGAAAATGGTTGAGAACCAGACTGGGAGAAAGATTAAGATTTTGAGATCGGATAATGGTGGTGAATACACATCCGATCCTTTCTTTAAAGTTTGCAAAGAAGAAGGAATTGTGAGACATTTCAGTGTTCGGGGAACTCCACAACAAAATGAAGTTGCAGAAAGATTGAATCGAACCTTGCTTGAGAAGGTTAGATGTATGTTGTCTCAGTCGGGTTTAAGCAAGTCATTTTGGGCAGAAGCAGTTAATTATGCATGTCACATCATCAACCGGTTACCCTCAGCTGTTATTCAGGGTAAGACACCAATGGAGGTATGAACTGGAAAACCTTTTTCTGATTATGACTATATCCGTATTTTTGGTTCACCTGCATATTTTCATGTGACTGAAAATAAACTTGATCCTAGAGCCAAAAAGGCTATCTTTCTTGGTTTTAGTAGTGGTGTCAAAGGTTACAGGTTGTGGTGCCCAGAGATGAAAAAACTTGTAATCAGCAGAGATGTGACATTTGATGAAGAAAGTATGTTCAAAGACTCTGAGAAGAATGTGAAAGATGTCTAACAGGTGGAGCTTGAGAAAGTTGCCTCTGGTACTTCAAATCCTATTTCCGCTGATGTCGAAGCCACTACAAGTGAAGAAGTTGGAGACCATGAGGATGTTGAAGAAGTTGAACTTGAAGATTCTATTCAAGTTGAAGAGCAAGTTTCACCTCAAGAGTCTATTGCCAAGAACAGAAGAAAGAGACAAATTACCAAGCCAGCTCGGTATAGTGATTATGTTGCTTTTGCTCTTCCTATTATCACTGAAGAGATTCCATCCAATTTTGAGGAAGCTATTGAGAGTGAGGAGAATAATAGGTGGTGCAATGCCATGGGTGATGAGATGAATTCTCTCTTGAAGAACAAGACTTGGGAGTTAGCTAAATTGCCTAAGGGCAAGAAAGCTATCGGTTGCAAATGGGTGTATGCCAAGAAGGAAGATGCTAATGAGAAAAGCAATGTGAGATTTAAAGCAAGATTAGTTGCTAAAGGGTATGCACAAAAGGAGGGCATTGACTACAATGAAATATTTTCTCCAGTTGTGAAGCACTCCTCAATTCATATTATGTTAGCTCTTGTTGCACAATATGATCTTGAGCTTGTGCAACTCGATGTGAAGACGACTTTCCTACATGGTGATTTGAATGAAGAGATTTATATGTGTCAACCGGATGGGTATATAGTGAAAGGGAAGGAGAAATTTGTTTTGCAAATTGAAGAAATCACTTTATGGCTTGAAGCAATCTCCAAGGCAATGGTATTTGAGGTTTGATAAATTTATGAGAGGCCAAAATTATTCTAGAAGTCAATATGATCATTGTGTGTACTTCAAGAAGTTGCAAGATGGGTCTTTCATTTATTTGTTGATATATGTTGATGATATGTTGATTGCCTCAAAGAATGTTGAAAGAGATTGAAAAATTGAAGAAGCAAATGAAGAAGAATGAGTTTGAGATGAAGGATCTTGGTGAAGCGAAGAAGATCCTTGGCATGGAGATCACTAGAGATAGAGAGAAGGGTTTTGGTCAGTTTGAATCAAAGACAATACCTTGAGAAGTTGATTCGGAAGTTTGGAGTTCATGATTCAACCAAACCGGTTAGTACCCCTTTGGCTCCTCATTTTAAATTGAGTTCTTTACAGTGTCCTAAAACTGATAAAGAGAAGCTGCAAATGAAAAATATACCATATGCAAATTTGGTTGGTAGTTTGATGTATGCAATGGTATGTTCTAGACCGGATATTGCTCATGCAGTTGGCATGGTGAGTCGATATATGCATAATCCAGGTAAAGAGCACTGGCAAGCAGCTAAGTGGATATTGAGATATCTCCATGGTACTCGAGATGTTGGTTTATGCTTTGAGAGGGATGACTCTGGTATTGGTCATTTTGCAGTTGGTTATGTTGATTCAGATTATGCAGGTGATCTGGATGGAAGGAAGTCTACTACAGGCTATGTGTTTACTATGGCTAAAGGACCAGTTTGTTGGAGGTCCATTTTGCAGTCGTCTGTTGCCTTGTCTACTACAGAGGCTGAATATATGGCAGTTGCTGAAGCTATAAAGGAGGCCATTTGGATACATGGGCTGATTAGAGATTTGGGGTTGATCAGAAGCAGGTGGAGGTACATTGTGATAGTCAGAGTGCCATTTATTTGGCTAAGTATCAGGTTCATCATGCGCGGACCAAGCACATAGATGTGCGTTATCACTTTGTTCGTGAAATTGTTGGTGAAGGGGAAATCATTCTTCAGAAGATTCCAACTAAAGACAACCCCGCTGATATGTTGACTAAGGTTGTTGGTGTAGCCAAGTTTGTTCACTGTTTGAACTTGGCTCACATTATGCCTATATAAAGAAGGCGTTGAGCAGTAGGAGTTTTGGAGCATTTGGCTCTGCATGAATTGTTCTCTTGCTAGTGTTTGGGAGTGTTTTTGTGTTGGTTGGCTTATCACGGTGATTTCGGAACTTGGCCAAGGTGGAGATTGTTGGAGTATGTGGCCAAGTGGCCAACTTTTGGCTATAAACAATTCAAAAGAAAAAAGACAACATGATGATGTTTCTTCCTTGTTTTGGGGAAAAGAAAAGCACACTTTGTCTAAAGTTTTTCTTTGGTCCATGTGAGAAGTCACGGGTAGAAGAAAGGGTGAGAAATAAAAGCTCATTTTGTTTTAGAGAAGAAAAAGGAGAGAGCTGCAGAGAAAAGGAGTGCAAGCTGCAGAGCATTAGAAAAAATATAAAGGGTGCAGCAACCCTTCGTTGAAGAGAAGAAGAAAGTGCTCTTCTTTTTGGTTAGCAATCATCCATCATAATTGTTGTTGTAATAGCTTTAAGCTATATGTATAGAGAAGAAATTATACATTATATTTCTTTCTCTATTTGTTTATGTGGTGTGTGAGAGCTATTGGGTGTATTGGGTTATTTGGGTTGTGAGATTGCCAACACTTTGTAAACTCCCATTTGGTTGATAGTGGATTATTGGGTGAGCTCCTACTGCTCCGAGGACGTACTCCAGTTACACTGACTGTTGAGGAACCTCGTTAAAATCTTGGTGTTCTTTAATATTTTGTTCTTGCATTTTCATTTGATAAATTTCCTGTGGGTTAGCTTGAGTTGGTTCCATAAGGTTTGGTGCTGTCCTAGCACAACAATTTGGCCCTGTTTACAAGGTGAGTTTGTATTCCTTCTCTCTCGGGGAAGGGGCATCCCAAACAATTTCAGCATCCCAAACAAACTCGGGGAAGGGGCATCCCAAACGAAAATTATTAGCTGCAAGAGACGCACAGGGATTGAACGGTTAATTTGTGGACTTATTGTAGGGTAAGCAAAAAGAAGGGAAAGAAATAGCAGTAAAGAGACTATCAAGTAACTCAGGGCAAGGCGTAGAAGAGTTCAAGAATGAGAAGCTGTTGATCTCCAAACTCCAACATAAAAATCTTGTTTGGATCATGGGCTGCTGTGTGAAACAGGAAGAGAAGTTACTAATTTACGAGTTCATGCCAAACGGAAGCTTGGATACTATTCTATTCAGTTAGTTTCACTCGACTTTATTCATGGCTGCAAGTTCTCTTTGTTAGCTGTCTTGTTCCGAATTGAATAATTTTTTGTACAATACATGGGATGCATGAGTGACACCATACCTTACATTTTGAATGGGTGCATTACTTAGATCCAAAGCTCCGATTGCTAGAGGGCTTCTTTATCTCCTTCACGATTCGTGTCTAAAGGTAATCCATAGAGATTTGAAGGTCAGTAACATTCTCTTGGATGAGAATATGAATCCAAAGATTTCAAATTTTGGATTGGCACGTATTGTTGAAGGGACACAAAATCTAGAGAATACTCACAAGGTTGTGGGAACACGGTAAGCACCATTTTTTTACATTTCTCCGAATTGTTCTCACATCACTCAGATTAGCGTATTATCATTCTAAACACAAGCCAGCTATTTTTGTCTGTTAAATACTAATGAGTTGCATGTGCAGGGGCTATATGGCTCCGGAGTATGCCATGGGCGGTATACATTCTGAAAAATCTGATGTCTATAGCTTTGGCGTTGTGCTGTTGGAGATTCTTAGCGGGATGAAGAATACCAGCTTTTATCACCATGAAAAACAGCTCGGCTTCCTAGCATATGTAAGTTCACATCCTAAAAATACTAATGTGAAATTGTATGCACTTTCTCTTTCGCATAGCTTAAGCAATCTCTATGAATTTTTCAGTCATGGCACATATGGAACGAAGGCAGGGGATTGGACTTAGTAGATGAAGAAGTTTTTCATAGTGTGGCTTTTTCAGTCCATCTTCGTACATTGCACTTTTTCAGTCCATCTTCGTACATTGCACTTTTATAGTGTGGCTTTTTTTTTTCCTTGTGCTTCAAGAAGTTTTTCATAGTTTCTTGGTGTGCTAAATTGATAAACCTTTTTTTTTTAATTAAAAAAGGAAAAGTGCACCGTGACTTTTTTGGAGTATTAATGTCTGCTCGTTTGCTGATTAATCTTACCGAAATGCTTTACACACCAATTAAACACATAGATAACTATGTTTAAAAGATAAAAGATATAAATATATAAATGGCACTTCATGCGTCCAGGAGCAGGTGGTCGATAGGCCTCTAATGCCATCTGTGGTTTTCATGCTGAGCAGTCCAGATGCAACAATGCCCCAGCCAAAAAGCCCAAGCCCTGGTTTTTGGCTAGGAAGGAATGCAGGTCAAACAGATTTGTCGTCATTCTCAAGCAATCCGGGAGAACCACTTTCCGATTCTGTAAACAAGTCACGATAAAAACATTAGACGGAGACACAGAAAAAACAGTGCATACGTCCGTGCACGATTTAATTTATTTATTTTTTTGTTACAATGGACGGAATGAAATCCTTTAACTTAGCCTAATCCTAACCCATATTTCCACTTACCCTCACCACTTGGGCTACTGCTAGGCACTTTATAAGCTTTAAGTTTTTCTTCAAAGAATCAAAGGGTATGACTTCACTTCGCAGTGTACATTATATGATTACACTTCACAGACAAACAAGATATACTGTGCAGATCATCTAGGGCTTTTAGTCACGCAAGAGTACAGAAACAGACTCAATTATAAGAGAAATAAAAAGAATAGAAGTTTGATAACTGTGCAAGCAAAAAAGCCTGAATCATTATCGAGCTTGAAATTTAGTTATTGTCAAGTCGTTTATAGAACATGATTCCTTCGAAACTGATGGATCAGCATTACTGCAGGGTTTGCTTCTGAATACAAACGCAGGCTGCTTAGGACCTGGAGGAGATGCTTCGCCACTCAACATGAAAACAACAGCTGCCATGGTTGGGCGGTCCTCTGGATCTTCTTGCACACACAAAAGGCCAACCTGAATGCATCTCACGACTTCCTCGGACTGATATGACTCTAATGACGAATCCACAATTTCTAAGGCTCTGTCTTCTCTCCACAGCTGCCAAACCTGCAGTTGACAGTATTTCATTTGAGACAAGGCATGAAAAAGTACGAGGGGTAGATTGCAACAAAAATTTGTGTTTTTTACATGTCCTATCAAGTTCATGGAATGATCCTCCTGATATAAACCGTTGTTTTTCTTGCTGCTTACAATCTCCAATAAATGATCCCAAAACTAAAGACATCCGACTTTGTTGAAAATCTCCCAAACACTGCATACTCTGGTGACATATAGCCACTGCATATGATGAAAAGAAAATGTTAAAGCCAAATAATAGTTTATAGTTAAATTGATTATGTAATGTGAATATTTGGTGATTCATTCCATCAATAAATGTTTGAGCACAAGTAAAATTCTTACTATGTTCCAACAATTCTGTTGGTCTTGTCCTGCAGTTGGTCCCCCTGGAATATTCTTGCCATTCCGAAATCTGAAATTTTCGGGTTCATCTCAGCATCTAGAAGAATATTGCTGGTTTTTAGATCCCTATGGATAATCCTAACTCTTGAGTCCTGGTGAAGATACAGAATCCCACGAGCAACCCCGTTGATGATTTCAAAACGCTTATCCCACTCCAACAAGGACCTTCTTCTGTGATCTGCACAATATATTTCTCTTTATGTAAATACATGTTATATATCTCACTATGAAGCTTCGAGTATATTCGACATCATTTTAGAAACAGTATGAACAAATGAATCTTTTGCTATAGACATACCGAAAAGAAAGTAGTCCAAACTTTTGTTTGGCAAGTGTTCCAGGACTAATATCCTTTCTTCTCCCTTTACACAACAGCCTAAAAGTTTCACCAGATTCCTGTGTTGAAGTCTCGCTATCAGCGCAACTTCATTTTTGAATTCTTTAACCCCTTGTCCTGAAGTTCTTGACAATCTTTTCACAGCAATAATCTGACCATTTGGTACCTGGCCCTGAAGCAATGAATCAGTATTACTATTACTAATAGGCCTTCATGCTTTAAAATGACAAAAAAAAAAAAAAAAAAAAAACAGTCGGAGACTTGAAGAAACAGAACAAAATTATACTGCTCAAAAGAAATCATACAGTTATAAATTGTGCAGGACTTCTAAATTGGGATTTACCTTATAAACAGTGCCAAAACCCCCTTGGCCAAGTTTATTAACGAGCGAGAAGTTGTCTGTGGCCACTAGTATGGTGCTCAGGTCGAAATATTGCAACTCAGGGTGTCTCCTAGTTTCCTCAAGTTCATCTACCTCCACGTAGTCTGTGCTATCACATAAACCAATTGTATACATTCATTTAGATGAAATCGCATTGCTTTTATTTAGATCAAACCGTTAAACAATTCAGAGGGGACAACTAGTTCTCATACCTTTTGTTTTGCTCTTTTTCTTATGCCGCCAGCAGGCAAACACAATGATTAGTACCAATGCCACCAGTACCGAAACTATTGGAATAACCAGAGCGCCCCTCCGTCTCAAAAAAACTTTTGATTTGCTGGTATGCTTACCTACACATTCGAGTTGGACAAAGGATTAGAAAACCATGACAAACAGAACTAGTAAGGACACCTAACCAGACCAGCAAAATCACTACCTAATTCGATTTTGTCCACGCGAACATATAAGTCTCCTCCCAACTCTGTGCGCACTAAAATGTCCATCAAATCATCGTACCATGTCATGCAATCAATCCGCCCTTCCGACCCTATGCTCATATACGCAGAGCATGAACAATTGCTTAAGCACGCTTGCTCACATTCTTTATCACTCATGCTTTTAACCAACTGTGCTTCTATCGATGCATCTGGATCTTTCACTCTTTGAAACGTCACGAACCCGTCCCCATTCCCACATTTCAAGCCCCCAATTCGCTTACTCACGCACCCATCCGACCCATTTCTCTGATTCCAATTATTTACAGATTTCGGTTCATACCCAGGTAAACACTCACACTCAAACAGATTAACATTGTCAGGGCTACATATGCTGTTAGCACCACACTGTCCGTACTTGTCACACCGATATTTTGGTGCAGCGAAAGTTTCCTCCCACTGATCATCAGCATCACTCCATTTCAGCTGCTGAAACAATCCATAATCCCTCAACACCGCTCGTGCTACAGAACCGTTTTCCCTCGGCGTAAAATAATCGTACATTTCCTCATCATTGCTTACAAAATTCGGCCACACCCCGGGATCAGCTCTCCAATACTTGCTCAAACCCTTAAACACAACAATTAGAGGGGTGGCGGTTGAATTGGAAACTATCCTGAAACTGTAGTCCCCGGTTCCAGGGTTGTTTTCGGAAATCCAAGATGTCAATTTCAATTCCAACCCACTTTTCCAATTGAACCCAATTTTCATTCCTGGAAGTAAAGTGTCAGTTGGGTAATCAAAACTCTGCCAAATAAAGCCCTCACTTTTATTTTCCTGGAAAAGCACTAAATTTCCAGAATCTAAAAGCTGAGCTACAAAAGTGCTTCTGGTTTGGACATGGACAGACACATTCGTTGACCAAATCAAAATATTCCCAGCAGCAGAGAGAACCAGATTTCCGTACCTGTTAATTGCTAGAACTCCGGAACTATCGTTGACGGGGGTGTCTCTGTTTGCCACCCAAACAACTGTTTTTTGAGGTTGATCTACATACCAGATACCGACGTACGTGGAACTACTGGAGTTGTCGGGGCTGAAGAATCCAAGCTCAAATTTTCTGTCTTTGGAGACTAGAGTGTCGCCGTCTTTGAGCTGTTGGTTGAGTGCTATGGTGTCAATGGATGTGCAGAATGGCATAAGGAGGAGGAAGAACAGAAACAGAGGCTTGAAGAATAACATTTTTCTTCTGGGGATTTGGGATTTCGCATCTACGATGAATTTCTGCTGCTTATTTGAGTGGACTAGTTTACCCGGCAACTGGCAAGCATGGCTCGAGTCAAAGAGACTTTGGATGTTGACAGTCATATCAGCTTCGTCGAAGAATAATCGGCTGGAGTTTTGTGCTTCAATAGGTTTTATATTAGGTTTGTCTCTAACACTAGTAATTAGGATTTGAATGAGAATTAAGGCTTGGGATCTCTGGTTGTGTTCTCCAACATAATCATCTGTTGATTATATTGTAGTGCCCTCGTTTTGAATAAGTTGACATTCAAAACCGACACAATTCAAATGACACCGCTATCTAATAATGTCCCTCAGTACTCGCCTCTTGTGTTTCATAATGCCACTCGACTTAGAGCTTATTCTAATTCCCACAATTTTATCATTATTTGACTCAAATGTTATATTGACTATAAGACAGAATTTCTCCTTTGACTACCAAAACGAACATAAGGTAATGTGCGTTTGAACGATTTAAACCATTTGAGATTAATAATCCTTAAATATTAGGTGATAAGCATTGGGCTACGCAACTTATAGTTCAAGTAATTAAGAACATATATCAATACACGATGACTTTCTATTTCATCACCTCCCTCGCATATATTTCATATTTTCGGAACTATGGATATAGGTCTAGCAAGTTATTGGACCGAAACCAGAGCAACCGATAGATTTGTCAACCATGGGCCGACTTTTCGAATGGGTAGTAGCTTTTGTTTTTGAGTCTGAAAGGATTTGGGCTTCAGGCCGTGTGCCACCATTTTCTCCAACAAAACAAATAAAACCACAATAAAAAGGAAAATTACTCATGAAGGTGTGATGTCACATCAAAAAATTACTCATGTGGAGGGTTCATACTACAAATCAAATCTTTTGTATATCAAGTTTCCATGATATGTAAATGAATAACACTAATGTGCAAGCAAAAATCGCCTGCATCGTTATCGAGTATCGAATTTATTTATTGTAAGTCGTTGATAGAGTATGATCCTTTTGGAACTGACAGATCAACAGCATCGCCACATGAATTGTTTCTCAAAACAAATGCACACTACTGAGGAGATGGAGGAGATGCTTCGCGGCTCAACATAAAAACAACAACTAACATGGATGGTCTCTTCTTCGACACACAAGAGGCCAACTGGAATGCATCTCATGACTTCGTCAGGCGCGAATGACTATCCACAAATTTTAAGGCTCTGTGTTCATGCCACAGCTGCCAACATTAGACGGCGACAGAGAAAAACAGTGCATACGTCCGTGCATGATTTATTATTTTTTTTGTTACAATGGACGGAATGAAATCCTTATACTAACCCATATTTCCACTCACCCGCACCAACTGGGCTACTGCTAAGCACTTTATATGCTTTAAGTTTTTCTTCAAAAGGTATGACTTCACTTCGCAGTGTACATTATATGATTACACTTCACAGACAAACAAGATTTACTGTGTAGATCATCTAGGACTTCTAGTCAAATAATAGTTTATAGTTTATAGTTAAATAAATGTTAAGTGCTATGGTGTCAATGGATGTGCAGGTGGCATGAGGAGGAGGAAGAGCAGAAACAGAGGCTTGAAGAATAACATTTTTCTTCTGGGGATTTGGGATTTCGCATCCACGATGAAGAATTATCCTGATATTTATCTTTTTCTCTTGGAATTTCTGCTGCTTATTGAGTAGAGTAGTTTACCCAGCAACTGGAAAAATTGCAATTTGGGGTGTCTCCTAGTTTCTTCAATTTCTTTAATTATTGAATAAATTATAGCAATGGCCCCTTAACTTTAATCAAATTGTAGCAATGATCCCTCAATTAAAAATTCATTACCATTAGTCCCTTAACTTATCAAAATGTGTAGCTATAGTCATTTTCATCAATTTCATCAAAATTTTGTCAAAATAAGTTATGCTGGAATGACTATTTATACAATTAGGGTCCCTCAACCCATCAAAGTGTGTAATTATGGTCATTTTCGTCAACTACATCAATTTTTTTGTCAAAACAAATTATGTTGGAAGGACCATTGCTACAATTGGGTTAAAGTTAAGGGACCATTTCTCCAGTTGAATTAAAGTTGAGAGACCAATGATAATGAATTTTTAGTTGAGGAACCATAACTGCACGTTTTGATGAGTTGGGGGCAAGGTATAAAATATCGATGATATCAGAAATATCGATAGTCTAAAAACACAGAAATTTCAATGGAAATATCAGGATATTATCGATATCGATAAAAATTGAATAAAAATCACCGAAATTGTAAGAAAAACTTGGAAATTTTTATTGAAACTTTGTACGATGTTTATTTAGTCAATTATCTATTAGTTTATCACAAAAAATTGGAAGAAAATGCATTGCATGATAGATATAACTGATTTAAGTTGATTATATAGCGAGCTGGTAAACATTGTGCGTGTAGAAAATATGTAAATTAATGAAAGAAGTTTAAACACACCATAATCATTTATATATAATGAATTAGTACAATATTTTGCACTTTATACATTGCATGGTAAGATATATGAGTGACTTAGCAAGGTCTAAAATATCGATGATATCGGAAATATCGAAGTCTAAAAAAATATCGGTAGTCCAAAAACACGGAAATTTCGATGGAAATATCGGGATATTATGGATATTTTAGACCATGGTTGGGGAACCAATGGTAATGAATTTTTAGTTGAATGACCATTGTTCTAATTAAGTTAAAGTTAAGGGATCATAGCTACAATTGACTTTGGTACCTATACATTGACAATGTTGGTAATGTTGGTAATGTGATCATAGCAAGTTCGAAAAAATGGAAAGACTAAGGAGAACAATATAACAAAAATAAATAAAATCAGAATTATTGCAACAAGAAAGATACTTCAATATCTTAAAATTTCTACGTCATCTGAGCTCAAACTCCCAATCGCTTAGACCGGATCCGTATTCACATTATTGCTTAAAAATTCGTGTTCTGGTTGCCTACGCATGTATAGAAATCGCACATTGCTTTCTAACGCATTGCCGGTATGTCATACAGAGGCCAACAAATGCTGCGGTATATAACAATTAACTAAACCGTGACATGCCAAGAGTATAGAAACAGACTCAATGGGAATAAAAAGAATAGAAGTTTGATAACTATGCAAGCAAAAGAACCTGCATCATTATCGAGCTTGAAATTTAGTTATTGTCAAGTTGTTTATAGAACATGATTCGTTCGAAACTGATGGATCGGCATTACTACGAGATTTTTTTCTGAAGACAAATGCAGGCTGCTTAGGAGCTGGAGGAGATGTTTCGCCACTCAACATGAAAACAATGGCTGCCATGGTTGGGCGGTCCGCTGAATCTTCTTGCACACACAAAAGCCCAACCTGAATGCATCTCATGACTTCCTCGGACTGATATGACTCTAATGACGAATCCACAACTTCTAAAGCTCTGTCTTCTCTCCACAGCTGCCAAACCTGCAGTTGACAGTATTTCGTATGAGACCAGGCACGAAAAAAGTAGGAGGGGTAACTTGCAACCAAAATTTGTGTTTTTTACATGTCCTATCAAATTCAAGGAATGATCCTCCTGATATAAACCGTTGTTTTTCTTGCCGCTTACAATCTCCAACAATATGATCCCGAAACTAAAGACATCCGACTTTGTTGAAAATCTCCCAAACACTGCATACTCTGGTGACATATAGCCACTGCATATGATAAAAAGAAAGAGTTAAAGCCAAATAAATAATAATAGTATTATAGTTAAATTGAATGTATGATGTGAATATTTGGTTATTCATTGCATCAATAAATGTTTGAGCATAAGTAAATTCTTACTATGTTCCAACAATTCTGTTGGTCTTATCCCGCAGTTGGTCCCCCTGGAATATTCTTGCCATGCCGAAATCTGAAATTTTCGGGTTCATCTCAGCATCTAGAAGAATATTGCTGGTTTTTAGATCCCTATGGATAATCCTAACTCTTGAGTCCTGATGAAGATACAGAATCCCACGAACAACCCCATTGATTATTTCAAAACGCTTATCCCAATCCAACAAGGACCTTCTTCTGTGATCTGCATCAAGATATTTCTCTTTATGTAAATACATGTTATATATCTATACATCATTTCAGAAACAATATGAACAAATGAATCTTTCCTCTAGGCATACCAAAAAGAAAGTAATCCAAACTTTTGTTTGGCAAGTGTTCCAGGACTAATATCCTTTCTTCTCCATTTATACAACAGCCACAACAGCCCAAAAGTTTCACCAGATTCCTGTGTTGAAGTCTTGCTATCAACACAACTTCATTTTTGAATTCTTCGACCCCTTGTCCTGAAGTTCTTGACAATCTTTTTACAGCAATAATCTGACCATTTGGCAAGTGGCCCTGAAGTAACGAATCAGTATTACTATTAGGCTTTCATGCTTTAAAACAAAAAAACAAAACAAAAAACAGTCGGAGACTTGAAGAAACAGAACAAAATTATTGTATACTGCTTAGAAGAAATCATTCAATTGTAAAATGTGTAGGACTTCTGAATTGGGATTTACCTTATAAACAATGCCAAAACCCCCTTGGCCGAGTTTGTTAATGGGTGAGAAGTTATCTGTGGCTGCTATTATGGTGCTCAGACTGAAATATTGCGACTCAGGGTGTCTCTTAGCTTCCTCAAGTTCATCTACCTCCGCATAGTCTGTGCGTGCTATCACATGAACCAATTGTAGACATTCATTTAGATGAAATCGCATTGCTTTTATTTAGATCAAACCGTTAAACAATTCAGAGGGGATGACTACTTCTCATACCTCTTGTTTTACTCTTTCTCTTTTGCTGCCAGCAGGCAAACACAATGATTAGTACCAATGCCAGCAGTACCGAAACTATTGGAATAGCCAGAGCACCCCTCCGTCTCAAAAAACCTTTTGATTTACTGGTATGCTTAGCTACACATTCAAGTCGGACAAAGGATTAGGAAACTATGAAAAACAGAACTAGTAAGGACACCTAACCAGACCGGCAAAATCACTACCTAATTCAATTTTGTCCACGCGAACATATAAATCTCGTCCCAACTCTGTGCGCCCTACAATGTCCATCAAATCATCTTGCCATGTCATGCAATCCAGCCGCCCTTCCCACTCTATGCTCATATACGCAGTGCACGAACAATTGTTTAAGCACGCCTGCTCACACTCTTTAGCACTCATGCTTCTGACCAACCGTGCTTCTATCGATGCATCTGGATCTTTCACTCTTTGAACCGTCACGAACCCGTCCCCATTTTCACATTTCAACCCCCCAATTCGCTTACTCACGCACCCATCTGACCCATTTCTCCGATTCCAATCATTCACAGATTTCGGTTCAAACCCAGGTAAGCACTCACACTGAAACGCATTAAAATTGTCAGGGCTACATCTGCTGTTAGCACCACACTGTCCGTACTTGTCACACCGATATTTTGGTGCAGCCCAATATTCCTCCCAATGATCATCAGCATCATTCCATTTCAGTTGTTGATACAATCCATAATCCCTCAACACCGATCGTGCTACAGAGTCGCTATCATTCGGAACAAAATAATAGGACATTTCCTCATCATTGCTCACAAAAGTCGGCCACGGCCCGGGATCAGATCTCCAATACTTGCTCGAACCCTTAAACACAACAATTAGAGGGGTGGCAGTTGAATTGGGAACTACCCTAAAACTGTAGTCCCCGGTTCCAGGGTCCTTTTCGGAATTCCAAGATGTCAATTTCCATTCCAACCCAGTTTTCCAATTGAACCCAACTTTCATTCCTGGAAGTAAAGTGTCAGTTGGGTAATCAAAACTCTGCCAAATAAAGCTCTCACTTTTATTTTCTTGGAAAACCACTAAATTTCCGGAATCTAAAAGCTGAGCTACAAAAGTGCTTCTGGTTTGGACATGGACAGACGCATCCGTGGACCAAATGGAAATGTTCCCAGCAGCAGAAAGAACCAGAATTCCGTACCTGTTAATTGCTAGAACTCCAGAACTATCGTTGATGGGCTTGTCCCTGTTTGCCACCCAAACAACTGTTTTTTTCAGGTTGATTTGCATACCAGATTCCGACGTACCTGGAACTACTAGAGTTGTCGGGCCCGAAGAATCCCAACTCAAATTTTCTGTCTTTGGAGACTATAGAGTCGCCGTCTTTGAGCTGTTGGTTGAGTGTTATGGTGTCAATGGATGCGCAGAGTGGCGAGAGGAGGAGGAAGAACAGAAACAGAGGTTTGAAGAACATTTCCCTTCTCGGGATACGGGATGCGCAGAGTGGCGAGAGGAGGAGGAACAACAGAAACAGAGGTTTGAAGAACAACATTTCTCTTCTGGGGATTCGGGATTTCGCATCCACGATGAAGAATTGTCGCTGATGTTTATGTTTTTCTGTTGGAATTTCTGTGGTTGTTTGAATAATTTGGCCGGCAACCGGCAAGCTCGAATCAAATCAAGGAGAGTTGGATGTTGACAGTTAAATTGCTAATCAGTTGCGTCAAAGTTGATTATTGATTTTTTCTTCAATAATACCTTGACTCTGAAAAATAGTAAGATCTCCAACTCAAAATTCTTTGTTTTCGAATTACAGGATTTTGTAGAAACTCTTACTTAAGATAATAGAAACTCCTAGGAACTTCTACTCACTACTCAAAACCATAAACCACTATGAATCATTATGTAAAGATCATATTCGTAAAAAATGAATTAAAAATAAGTTCGTTTAGTCAATTTATTGTAGGAAATACATAGACAGTTTCTAATACTTTTACCAATTTCGTTCATCTGTTTTTATACATTTTAATGACTAAACAACTTTAATAAATTGCTTTTTTGTAAAGACAATCTTTATAAAGTTATTTATAAAAATAATGATTTCGATTTTAAACATGAAATTCTATAACTCGGCCACAAACAATTTTGAATAGAAAATCATACTTATCCTTTAAGTAGCCAAATATTATTCGTTTTTCTTATGATGTTCCAATGACTCTGTTGGTCTTATCCTGCAGTTGATCCCCATTGAAAATTATTGCCATACCGAAATCTAAAATTTTTAGGTTCATCTTAGCATCTAGAAGAGCATTGCTGGTTTTTAAATCCCTATGCATAATTCTAAGTCTTGAGTCCTGATGAAGATACAGAATTTCACGAGCAACCCCGTTGGTGATTTCAAAGCGTTTTTTTTCAATCCAACAAGGACCCTTTTCTGTGATCTGCATTGAGACGAGAGGTTTGGTTTTTATGTAATCATCATGTAGTATATTTTAGCAGAGACTTCAAATATATGCTTCTTTACTTTTGGACATACCAAAAGGGTGGTGTAGGGCTGGATTCAGTTCAAATCAGTTCGGTTTTTTACCAAAATCGAAACCGAATCAAAATTTCGGTTCGGTTAATTTTTTTTCGGTTCGATTTTTTCATAAAATTATTTTATTTTTTTAATCTGGATATTGACATGTTATTTAGCTGCCCTAAAATCATTCCTAAAAATATAATAACGTTTAGACCTTAAACTTGATAAAATAGGGTGATAAATATTACTGAAACCTAGCTACTAGAACAAATGAATATCTAATCAAGCCATTTTCATGACTACCTGGAACAGTAGGCTCTTTTTTTTTTTTTTTGGAGAACCTCGGCGGTACGAGGGAAATTTATTGATAAGAAAAAAGAAGATACACCTAGACAGGGGGGACATAAACCTAACCCCTCATAGAACAAGAGAAAAGAAATACAAAAAAGGGGGGGACATGCACCTTACCCCTTTTGAGAAAGGAAATACAAAAGAGGGGGGGACATAGACCGTACCCCTCTTGGAAAAGAAAATACAAGGAAAAGACTGGGCGGACATAAGCCCAAACCCCTCTAAAAACCTAAAAGGTAATAACCTGCAAGACAAGCTGCAAAACAAAAGGGAATCCAAAAAGGTTAGGAAAAGAAAGGAGAACACACATCAAGAAGAGGAGACAAACCTGTAGGTTGGCATGCCCAAGAAATCTGAGTGCTGAGGAGGAAGGATCTCTATAGGGGGAGTGGAGTGCCAAACAAGTGAAGATGATAGAAGCCCTAAATTGGCTAATTTGTCAGCAACAACATTCCCTTCTCGAAAAATATGAGAGCAACGAAAGACCATGTTCTGCAAATGGAGAGTACAATTGTTCCAGCGTGTCTGGAGTGACCAAGGGAGAGAGAAAGATCCAGAAGCAAAACATGATATTACACTAGAAGAGTCGCTTTCAAGCCATAAATTTTGCCAGCCCCGCGCGTGGGCCAATTCGACAGCAAGGATGACAGCATGGAGCTCCGCATAGAAAGAAGTACGATGACCCAAGCTTAGGGAGAAACCACCAAGAAAATAACCTGCAGAGTCACGAAAAACCCCGCCACATGCCGCAGGACCCGGATTACCTTTAGCAAGGCCATCAGTATTCACTTTAACCCAAGAAAAATGAGGGGGGTGCCAAAGAACAGGGACAATAGAAGGAGCTTTACAGGAGTTAGGCGATATTCCAAGAGAAACTAAAAGTTGCCTATCCAAAATGCCTCGTACATGGCCAGGGGTGAGAGCTCCAACCTGCCTAATCCAGGCCGAGGTAGAGCGGCATAGACGTGAGAAGGAGGGAGGTTTGCCTTCAAACTTCACTTTATTACGCATCTTCCAAATGGCCATTAGTAAGAAAAACCCTGAAGCTAGCCAGACATTGCGAAGATGAGGAGAAAACCGATTTGACAGAAAAACAAGCCAAAGATCAGAGAGGGAGCCCGTAGGTGGAATAATAGTGCCAAATTGGGTAGCTAGCCAACGCCAAGCACATTGTGCAAATTCACAGCTAGAAAATAAGTGATCAATAGATTCAGAATTCTTGTGACATAGTTGGCATATTGGAGCCAGCGGGATGCCTCGGCGCTGAAGTTGATCCTCCGTTGGGAGCTTGTTGAATAGAATCTTCCAAACTAAAATAGAGTAACGAGGTGGGATGAAAGGACGCCAGATAGTGGAAGCCCAACTCTTAACAGGGAACCGATGGCGAACAATTTCATAGCCATCGGAGAACGAAAAAACACCAGATGTAGAAACTTCCCAAATTAAAACGTCCTTATCCTCATCAATTGGAAGAGGCATTTCTAAAATCTCATTAGTTAGGTCTGGGAAAGTAGAAGAAAAAAAAGAAGGAATAACCCATTTTCCCATACGAATAATATTTGAGACCTTAGTACGAGATAAAGAGGGAGCAATCTCTGTTGCACCAACGACGTCCACAATAGGCTTATCCAGCCATTTATCAACCCAAAGGGAAGTAGTAGAACCATTTCCAATCACCCAACGACAATTCTGAAACAAGATATGAAGAATGGATTTAATACCAGGCCATATAGAAGATCGCTTATAACTACAAGAATATAGGCGACCATGTAGCTTGAAACGTTCCCGAAGATAAATATTCCAAGGGGAATCAGTAGTAATAATAAGCCATCCAAGCTTTAAGAGAGCAGTAGTGTTAAGAGAGCCAAGATCACGCAAACCCAAACCACCTTCATTCTTCGGAGCACAAATCTGACGCCAAGAAACGGTAACAGACTTCTTGGAGGTTACGTCACCAGACCATATAAAATTGCGAGCACATCTTGAAAGAGGCCTTAGCAAGGAAGAAGGCCACTTATAGACGGAAAAGCTATGCAAGAGCATACTTTGAAAAACTGATTGAGTGAGTTGAACTCTTCCTGCCATAGATAAAAGTTTCCCCTTCCAACCAGTTAACTTCGCTTTAGCTTTATCTGCCAAGGCTTGAAGATGACTCCTTTTAGGCTTGCCACAGAAGATTGGAACTCCAAGGTAGACAAAAGGTGCTTTGCCTTCTTTGAAACCCAAGTAACTCTCAACCACAGCTTTGCGATGCCTTGAGGTAGAGCCCAAGTAGAAAGTACATTTTGCCTTATTGATAAATTGACCAGAGGCTCTACTATATCTATCGAAGAAACCTTGCAAATTACGCAGAGTGACACCATCACTTCTACAGAAAATGAATAAGTCATCTGTATAAAGAACGTGAGAAGGAGAGATACAACCTCTTGGAGCAAAAGTTGGCTTAGTAAGCCCATCAAGTTGAAGACAACTCAGGCCCCTTGATAAAGCCTCCTCAGCTAGACAGAAAAGTAACGGAGAGAGAGGATCCCCTTGGCGCACTCCTCGGGAACAAGAGAAAAAACTATGTGGGGAACCATTAATTAGGATGGACAATTTAGCAGATCTTAAGATGGTAGAAACCCAGTCTATAAAACAAGTGGAGAACCCAAAGTTAGTAAGCACCCGCAATAGAAATGACCAATCTAAAGTATCAAAAGCCTTAGCTATATCAACTTTGACTCCCATATTGCCACCACGAGTTTTTTTGTCAAGCACATTGAAACATTCTGAAACAAGGCCAATACAATCTGTGATACGTCGGCCAGGTATAAAAGCAGCTTGATGCGGAGAAATAATGCGTTGAACAACATGAGAAAGACGAACTGCCAAAATTTTGGGAATAATCTTAAAGAGAAAGTTTGCCAAAGCAATAGGTCTAAAATGAGTCATGGAAATAGCGTCTTCCACCTTCGGAATCAAAACTAAGAAATTACTATTGCCATTGGGGTATAACCAATTTGATTGAAAGAATTGCTTCACAAATTGAATAACATCAAAGCTGACAATATCCCAACAGTGGTGATAGAAAAAACCTGGAAAACCATCTGGCCCTGGCGCACTGGAAGCACTTAATGAGAAAACTGCCTCCTTAATTTCCTCATCAGTAGGTAATGCAGATAAGAGATCATTTTCAGAGTCTGTGACCATCGGCTGGATGACTTCACAAACCTCATCAATACCTGAAGGGGTGAAAGAGGAGCCGAACAAATTCTGATAGAAATTAACAATATGGTTCTCAATTGCCAGCGGGTCAGTAAGAAGATTGTTTCCATCATGAATAAAACTGATATGAGAGCTGGAAGATTTAATACGAGCATAGGCATGAAAGAAAGAAGAATTTCTATCCCCTTTAGTTAACCACTTAACACGAGCTCTATCTTTCCAAAATGCCTTCTGCATTTGGAGAGACTCCATTACTGTGGTCTTGGCGACAATCTCCTCCTCGAAAAGATCATTATTTATACCCTCAGTTGAAATTCTTTGTTGAATCATAGAAAGATTATGCCGAGCATTAGCCACTCTATTATGGACGTCACCAAAGACCGAAAAATTCCATTGGCGCAAGCAGGTTTTTAGAGCTTTCAATTTTTGCAGAATGATAAACATAGGACAACCATAGACAACTGTATTTCTCCAGTAATGAGTTACAGTTTCTCGAAAAGATGGATGTTGAACCCACATTGATTGAAAACGGAAAGGACGATGACCACTGCTCAAAACTCTAGAACCAGAGAAGATAAGGGGGTTGTGATCTGAGACTACCTTTGGCAATGCTATGCATTTAGAGTGGGGCCAAGAATCAAACCAGCTTATATCACACAAGGAGCGATCTAACCTTCTTTCAGTGCGACC